TTATTATTATTGTTTTTGTTAACATTATTGTACATAAAATTATAATTTAGTTAAAAAAATCTTTTAAGGAATATCTGCATAATATCATGACAATTCATTATTGAATAGTTAAGTACTAGTATTTGATGGCATTTAGTTCTGGGTTTAAACGTTTTATCATTAAACCTTAAAATGTCTGCATTGTAGTTATATAGATTTGTTATAGATTTGTGTGTGTCTTCTACTGGCTTTAGCAGTTAAAGCTGTTTTTATTCAGAATCTATTTTCAACAATTCTCAGTTTTCAGTTTTGATTTTTTGATTGTTTATTTCAGGGTTATTTTTGAGACCTTCCTTTGATTTCATGATAAAATGGCAATTACCGATTCACAACGATACCATTTAAAGCTTCGACTGAATCAAGTCTCAATTAGATATCAATGTTAACAATTTTGAAAACAGTAGATTTATAAATTGGGTTTCTCTACAATAGAGGGAATTGCATATTTGAAAAATAAATAAATGATCAGGATACTTTTAACCCTAAGAAACATTATTGAGAATGAAGAGTCCTTTGAAATTATGTTGACAGTCCCTTTAAACCGAGGATTTTTACCTGAGAGGGCTTTAGCCGTAGAAGCTGGAGATATTTGGGGGATGCGGAACAGACGGAGAAGATTAGCAACCTGAAAATTTCAAAATTATTTTTTTTATTCGATTTTTTTTTTCATTTAACTGACAACGCCGGGCACTTCAGCTAGTTTTTCATAAATTATTAAGAATTCAGCAATTTGTTCACTACAGGGTTGAAAAAAGAATGAAATTTTATTGAAGACCAAAAACTTGGTAAATACGACGTTCAGAAGCAATTTAATCTGATCTTTTTCTTAGGTCTTTAAATTGTATATTTAATGATTTGGTAACGAAAAAAAAAACTAGAAATTTACAGTTGCAGGAAACCAAGAATGGAAAAATAAATAAATTCCTTTCAGTCGTTTCTAAAGTGTCATTCTTTTTGATATCTCTGTACAAAATGAATAGATTTCCTAGGATATACGTTTAGTTGTTCATTGAGAGAGATTAAATGAACGAAAAAAAATTAGCTTCCAAAAGATTGCATTGCTCACTTTACGTAGATGTAAAGAATTGTTTTAAGTTTTCTTTTCTAATAAACTTTTCTTTTATTAATTTTGAAAAAAACTTTGAAAATAAATCAAAATGTTCGCTATCAAAAGAAATTATGCATAAAATTTGTTTTATAAACAATGGTGCTTTCCTCACAAATATGTAAAGAAACAGTGAATAAAAAGAAGAAAAGAGGTTTCTTGCTGCTGAAATTATTTAGAAAATGTGGTTAACCTGAAGTGAAACCGAAGAATAATGACCTCCAATGACCCCTAGGACAGGTCCAGTATTCTCTAGCTTGTGCTTCGGTGCCCCTCCTTAATTGTATATACATAGCGTAGAGTACACATGGAGTTAAGTACACATGGAGTAGAGTACGCAAGGAGTAGAGTACACATGGAGTTGAATATACATGGAGTTGAATATACATGCAGTTGCATATACTTGGAGTAGAGTACAAATGGAGTAAAGTACAGATGGAGTGAGTACACATGGAGTAGAGTACAATGGAGTAGAGTACACATGGATTATAGTACACATGGAGTGAGTACGCATGGAGTAGAGTACAGATGGAGTGAGCGCACATGGATTAGAGTACGCATGGAGTAAATTACACACATGGAGTAGAATACACATGGAGAACAGTACACACGGAATAGAGTGCAATGGAGTAGAGCACAGATGGAGTGAGCGCACATGGATTAGAGTACGCATGGAGTAAAGTACACACATGGAAAACAGTACACACGGAATAGAGTGCAATGGAGTAGAGTACACATGGAGTAGAGTACACAGGGAGTAGAGTACACATGGAGAAGAGTACACACAGGGAATAGAGTACAATGGATTAGAGTACACATGGAGTATAGTACATATGAATAGATATGAATAGATAAACAGCGAACATCTAAAAAATTATCAATTCCATAAAATGCCCCCTAGAGATAAGATCACTCCATATACAAGTGTACAGTGTCAGTTACGTAAACATATCGTGATGTACACAACTACTCTAGTAATTAATAGGGAGGTCGGTTGTGTACTGCTGAGGTAAGCTTTGCCTCTTCTTTTCGTTTCTCTATGAGCTGAGTATATTAAAATTTACAAATCTTTATTGCTTGCTTGGTTTTTAAACTCAATCTAAAACGTAATTCTAAGAAATAAATCTAAAGTTTGGAGGCTAGGAAATCTTTTCTAATTTTTTTTTTGCAACCTCATTTCCCATCTAGGTTTGCAAGAGTTTAGGTAGGGTTGAATTTAACCAATTAAAACTTTTTAATGGAAATCGAAATTAATTAATTTGGAATCATTTTTCCAATTAGTTCTTGTTTTTCCTGCCAAAAACAGTTTATATTTTGAGTTATCAAAATTAATCAAAGAACTGATTATCCCCCACAATCTCTAATTCTCTGATCCTGTTTATTTTTGCAACCTAATGTTGTAGACCTTTTTTTTGGACTATGATTAACATATAAAGTAAAATTATGGATGCTGCTTAAAAATCAGAGAGTCTTAACTCTGGAACTCATTTTTACCAGTTTTTTGAAGATATTTCGTATTTGTCATTTGTCACTTATTCTAAATATTAAAGTAAGTGAAATCTTTAACGCCTTTTCCGACGGATTTCGAATAAGAGATAAAAATATGACTGAAAAGTTGCCGTTACGGACAGGGCTTCGATGTATTAAGTTTTACGTAAAAGATAAAAAGTTTCCACCATCAGATTACAAGGATATAGAGATACATCCTGTCCCTCTATATTATTCATCTTTCAAAATATTAGGTCGGTACTCAATTTTCTTGTTTTTGTTTTGTTTTTGGGACACCTTGTAGCTAGTTGACACCCTGTAGCTAGTTGACACCTTGTAGCTAGTTGACACCCTGCAGCTAGTTGGATAACTCACAAAATACTCTTATAACTCAATGTCGAGATTTATTAAAGTAATGAATTCAGGACATAATTGGTTGCCCGATACTTGACGACATGCTTTAGTATGTCGAGAACTATTAAAATACTTGACGACATGCTTTAGTATGTCGAGAACTATTAAAATTCTTGACGACATGCTTTAGTATGTCGAGAACTATTAAAATACTTGACGACATGTTTTAGTATGTCGAGAACTGTTAAAATACTTGACGACATGTTTTAGTATGTCGAGAACTATTAAAATACTTGACGACATGCTTTAGTATGTCGAGAACTATCAAAATACTTGACGACATGATTTAGTATGTCGAGAACAATCAAAATACTTGACGATATGTTTTAGTATGTCGAGAACTATCAAAATACTTGACGACATGCTTTAGTATGTCGAGAACTATCAATATACTTGACGACATGCTTTAGTATGTCGAGAACTATCAAAATACTTGACGACATGCTTTAGTATGTCGAGAACTATCAAAATACTTGACGACATGCTTTAGTATGTCGAGAACTATCAAAACACTTGACGACATGCTTTAGTATGTCAAGAACTATCAAAACACTTGACGACATGCTTTAGTATGTCGAGCACTATCAAAACACTTGACGACATGCTTTAGTGTGTCGGGCACTATCAAAACACTTGAAGACATGTTTTAGTATGTCGAGAACTATCAAAATACTTGACGACATGTTGTATTATGTCGAGGACTATCAAAACACTTGACGACATGTTTTAGTATGTCGAGAACTATCAAAATACTTGACAACATGTTTTAGTATGTCGAGAAATATCAAAATACTTCACGACATGTTGTAGTATGTCGAGAACTATCAAAATACTTGACGACATGTTTTAGTATGTCAAGAACTATCAAAATACTTGACGACATGTTTCAGTATCTCAAGAACTATCAAAACACTTGACATGTTTTAGTTTGTCGAGAACTATCAAGATACTTGACGACATGTTTTAGTATGTTAGTATGTTGAGAACTATAAAGATACTTGACGACATGCTGTAGTATGTTGAGAACTATCAAAATAACTTTAATAAAAATGTTATTTAAGAGTTTCGCAACGGACTGTAAGCAACCCTCCATGCAATAGGATGGCAATGTCCGATTTACAACGGTACCCTTGAAAGCTTTTTCTGATCAAAGATGAATTGGATTTTCATGTTTTGTTGTTGCAGTCTTAGCATGGAAAGTCGCTCGAAATTACGCTTTACAGTCTCTTTAAAGCCTACATTTTTAATTTTATTTTCAAATCGTAGAATTAAATAAAATTAAATATGCTGAAGGCTGAAAGGAAGAAATGTATTCTGGATGAATGAATAAAAGCTAGCTGGAGGGTTTTATAAGAAAGAAATTAGAGAAATCCAATTCAAAATCTCACCTTGCCAATTCTTTTAGTTTCTGCTCTATTAAGTTTCTCTTTTATAAAACTGTTCTTTGAATTATATGGTCTAAAAGTGTATTACTGAAAGGGCATTTTATAATTTGTTTATTTCTCAAACGAACGAAAAACGATTTATTTTAGTTTTGTTTCTTATTTTTCAAAATTATCGAACCATCGTTAAAAAAAATATAATGGCTAAAGCTAACGAACTTTTGAAAACGAAAGAAAAAAAACGACGATATGCTGGTTTTACTGAAACAAATATAGCTTTTCTATTCTATTAAAAAATTTGTTTTAATTAATTTTAAAAGATATGTTTTCCTTAAATGTCTGAATTAAGTAAAGTTTATGAATTTCGACTGAGGGGTTTCAACCAAATATTGAAATCTATCTTAAAATAGGTTAATCTAGAAGAAGTTTGATGGAAATTATACTTGGTCGTAGTAAACGATGTATTACGCACTAGGCTCCGGGTACCCAGCTTCACCTGGAAGCCAAATTTTCATATACAAGTCTATACCTACTTAAGATAAAATAATAGAGCCAATCTTTGGTCCTTCCCGATATTCTACTGAGTTCCCAAATCAAAATTTGAGCCAAATCGTTCAAGGGAATTATGAGATACTAGTTGAAGGGCCCGGCGTTGCCCATGGAATTTTTTTTTTAATTTAAAAAATCAAACCTATTGGCTTGAATTTAAACTTGGATCTGGGGCAATTAACGGTGGCTTCGGTTTTCCACGCATTCAAACATGCGTTCAAATCATGTTTTCTGGGTTGGCATTTTCTAATGATAATTATTTCTCCACGTTGGCGACTTATCATCCGCCCCACTTTATGTCTGATCTATAGCTATATACAAAAGAGCTAATACATTGTCCTGTTTATACGCCGGACTACTTGCAATCCGAGCTTAGCTCCGGGTCCGTATGAGGACTGAAGAGGTTACATCAATAGAACTATCCAATCTGAGTTTAGCTCTGGGTTTGTGTGAGAACTGATTGGGTTACGTCAATGGAACTATCCCTATTCCGAGCTATTGAGCTCACACTTGTTACAATACAAACCAACAAACACCCATCCAAACAGAAAAACAGAGATTACTACTTTTTATATATTTATATATCTTTATTTATATATCTATCTTCACCTAGCCCAAGATCGACCATCTACAGTGTTTATGTAGTTAAATAAACATAGGAAACTTACGGAAATGCAGATACTTACCCCTTCTGAAGGACGTATAGAGGGGGGGGGGGGAAGAGTCACCCCTTGTGGAAAAGAAAAGCGTTTTTTCTTTAAAAACTTAAGAGCATCTAAAAAAGTTCTAATTTTCATTTTATTCTTTATTTTTAACAATTTTGCCCCCTCCTCCCCCCTGGAATAAATCCTGTATATGCCCCTGACCCTCTGCTTACATTATCTACCAAAAACTTAAATGTGAAGATGCATTAATTATGAAACATATGAAACCAATTTAAACAAATTAAAAGTTCGACTCTTTCTTGGAAGGTTCTGTTGTGTTTCTATTAAAAACTAATAAAAGAAAAGAATAGCTTCGTAGATTACGATTTTAGCCAAATAGATTATCAAGTACTAGAATCTATTTGATTTTAGCTATTTTTCCCGTTAAAAGTGAACCCACTCAATTAAGAATCTCAAACCTAATTGCTCAGGACATTCCCGTGGCTCTTCCGAATTCTCCAATCAAAATTTGAGGCAAATTGGCCATGGGTCCCTGAATTGTGGTCAGACAACAAACAACCAGACAAACATAGATAACATCTTTATATATATATATATATATATATATATATATATTATAGATACTTCTATGGAAAATAACTTAAAAGAGAAATAACTATTATTCTAAAAGGTCATTTATGAAATGAAATGATTTAAAATGGCTTTCTTTCCCTTTTTTTTGCATTTGCAATATTTGTCGTGTAAGCAAGAAAAGAATTTAGACTTTTTAGTTCCATTTCTCTTAAAGGTATCACATTCATTCTTGATTATAACACGCTTTAATGGGTGTCATTGTGTATCACGCCACTCTGCAAATAAATTGCCACGTGAAATTATGTTTACAGTTCCTTTAACTTAAGGGGGTATAGGCTTACGGCGAAAAATAAGCGCTTTTGATCGCTAATAAACTTACTTCTGTTGTGTCTATAAGGAAACAATTGTTAAAAACGAACACTCTCTTTACTCAAAAAGACTTTTGTCCTTTTCTAAATATAAATGTTTATTAATTTTCCTCACCCGAATTTCTCATTTTTTCCCTTTTTAAGATTCATGTTTCTCATTCTTTTCTATCTTTGGAGATTATTGTAGATATTTTTTCCATGGAATATAAACTAAAGCTGTAGCTAAGTTTAAGATTAGTAGCGAACAAAAGCCCTTATTTTTCGGCGTAAGCCCTTTCATTTTTCGTAAACACTCCCTTTAAATATCTATATGTTTTTAATTGTTTTAAAAGAAAACGAAATTCGAGACGTAATATTGTTTTAGAAGTTTTTTTCTTATAACACTACATCCAAAAACTTGCATAACAATAACTTTGTGGGGAAAATGTCCAAATTATTAAAATATTTGCTTCTCATTGTGTGTAGTCGCGCGAACCAGCATATTTTTAGGCTGGCAGATTGATTTACCCTTACCAGCACGTTTCAGGCTGGCAGATTGATGCACCCGTACCAGCACATTTTTAGGCACGCAGATTGATGTGCCCGTACCAGCACGTTTTTAGGCTGGCAGATTGATGTACCCGTACAAGCACATTTTTTGGCTGGCAGATTGATGTACCCGTACAAGCACGTTTCAGGCTGGCAGATTGATGCACCCGTACTAGCACATTTTTAGGCACGCAGATTGATGTGCCCGTACCAGCACATTTTTAGGCACGCAGATTGATGTGCCCGTACCAGCACGTTTTTTGGCTGGCAGATTGATGTGCCCATACCAGCACGTTTTTAGGCTGGCGGATTGATGTACCCGTACCAGCACGTTTTTAGGCTGGCAGATTGATGTATCCGTACCAGCACGTTTTTAGGCTGGCAGATTGGTTTACCCGTACCGGCACGTTTTTAGGCTGGCAGATTGATGTGCCCGTACCGTTAGTAAATAAACCTTGATATTTTCCAAGTTTTATTTTCACTTTTTCTTGAGTTTTTGTAAAGACGGCTGACAGGGAATACTTTTAAGGCTTAGCCATTGCATCTGAGGCCGGGGTCGGATTAGAGGAAAAAAGATAAATCTTTTATCAAAGAAAGGGTGTCTATTCAATATATTTTTTGTAAAGGAAATTTTCCGGAGAATTGAAAGCTAGATATAACTTAATTTTATATTTTTTCCCTTCTTCAATATCTGGTATCTGAAAGGAATCTAGAGCACTTTGTATTTGTAAATAATTGAAATAAAGTCGTTGCCACAAAAGCATATTTATAATCCCAATACCTTTGGTACCTAATGGTGTAAACCTTTGATTTAGATTATTTGATATAAAACAGAATTAATTGTTTAAAACATCTAAGGTCTACGACATGGAATTGCAAATATATAGGGATTAAAAAACCAGAGTTTGAGGCAAAGACTCAATTCCTCTATTACTTCAGGTATCAATTCCTCTATTACTTCAAGTATCAATTCCTTTATTACTTCAAGTATCAAGTAGAGAGGATAGCCTGGCCTCCTAGTGGTTGTTGAGGAACTGCTTTAGTTCAAAATTAGCAAAATTAAATGTTAGAAAAAAATCCAATAAAATTTTATTTTTTCATTCTTACCTTTTTCACATTCGTACTGTGACGCCATTTCCAAGTTGTTTAATGAAGATCTGATAAATTCTAGAGATTGATTCAGAGCAAAGGTATCCCTGCCATCATACTTAATCATCAACTAAACTTAACCCTTTCTACCTTATTGGGAGGGTGGGGGGGGGGGGGGGGTTCAGAGCAAAAGTATCCCTGCATGCCATTCTTAATTCTGCTAAATTTAACCCTTTTACCCTTGCTTTCGGTAACCCAGGGGTTTTCTTGCCAAATGCTTGAGTTCTCAGATGTTAAACCACATCTGAAGCTCTCCTTTTTTAATGCCAAACTAAATATCCCACTTATTGTTTTAAAGATGATTATCAATCCTGGAGCATGTGTCCTGAAAGAAAAAAACAATTAATCAAATTTTAAAAGGGTCAATTTATTCATAGAAGGAAGGAAGAGACGCTAAGTGTAATTCTAAATGACCCTCCATTTTGGAATTCTAAATAGCCCTCCATATTGGAATTCTAAATGACCCTCCATATATATAGGCTTGAAGGGCCAGGGTACGGTTTTAAATCGATCATTGATACCCTAATGCATAAACGGGCACTGGAAATTACGCGTACACTCCCTTTAATGCATGGACGGTGATTGGAAATTACGCATACACTCCCTTTAATGCATGAACGGTCACTGAAAATTACGCGTACACCCCCTTTAATGCATGAACGGTTACTGGAAATTAAGCTTTCACTCCCTTTAATGCATGGACGGTTACTTCAAATTACGCGTACACTCCTTTTAATGAATTAGAACATTTTTAAAGTAAAAGTTTTTTTAAAAACTGCCCCAAAAATGTTTTTTTTGAGAATCATATTTTTCTTGAATTTTTTTTTCGAAATATATTACCTGGATATTAACCCCTAGGGTTATATTGTTTAGTAGGTTTGTATCATTGTTTATCTTATCCACTGCAAACAGCATGGCTTCCATCCTCTGAACACCTCTAAAATAAAAAAAAATCCTCAAAACTGTTCGTAAATGATCAAAAAAAATGTTCAAAACTGTTCGTAGAAATATGAATAGAAACCTACGACGATTGAATTCGGTGCTCTTGCAAACTTAAGGCAGATTTGCCAAAATATATATTTCAGCATTTTAAAAATCTTATAAATTCACGAAATTTACAATAGCTGATTTTGTTGGTAAAAACAATATGATTGTTACCAAGTTTGTTTTTTTGGGATCAGTAATAAACGTTTATTGTAAAAACATCGTTCTTGATAAAAACAATTTTTTTCTTATTATTTTTCAAAAATTTAAAAAGGTTATAAGAAATGCCATTTGAAATCTCTGAGAATGAATGTAGAAAATTGCAAGTTTTTCAAAAGAGCTTATTTCAAAGAAAATATTAAAAACTTAAATCTCATTTATTGCATGGAAAAAAATGAATAATGTTTTAAAAAATTGCCTAGAAATTTTGTTGGCGAGAGGGTTTGTGGGGGGGGGGCTTCAGGTCCCTTTGAGTAATAATGTTTTTTTTATTTTTAATGATCCGAGAGTTACTTACTACTTAGAAAATATTCATTCCTGTTTTGAAGATTTTTGATAATGAAGACGACATTTTCATATTTTTCAGAAATGTTCGAAAACCCAGCGCCAGCCGTGAAAACAAGTTGAAAGCGAAATATTGATTTTAATAAACAAAATAAAAAATCAACTATAATAAACGAATGCGGAATGCGTTGAAAAAAATCGATGATTTTAGGTTGTGTAATATCTGAATGATTTGTTTGGAATTAAATTAATTTCTTTAAGATCCAAGTCAAATATTGTAACTTTCTAAATTTGTATTGACGCTACGCTCTTCGATAAAAGTCGTATTTAACAATTTTTTCCTTATAGACGTAACAAATAGAAATAAGATTAGGAGCAATCACCATCGAATATTTTTCGATGTAAGCCTATGCCACCTTTCATTTTTAGTGAACAGTCCCTTTCATATATCTGGTAAGAATTGAGGTAAAGCAATTTTAGGTAAAAAAAGCTAAGATTTAAAGGGTACCGTTGTTAATCAGACATGCTACTCTTTGGAAATTTGATTGACGATCCCTTTAAGCTTCTAAAAGTTTTAAAGAGATTGATAAAGCTAGGTCTGAAAACTTTGAACAAGATGTCTGAATCATGATTAAATTCTCATATAAACTTCTGTAGTACAGTGATAACCATAATAATCTGGAATAGAAAGACGACGTTAAGACTCAAGTTATGACTTTGAATGAACAATGAACATAAAATACCTCAATTTTACTTAAATGTGGATTAATTACTTGCTTGTAAAATTATTTGCTTTTTAACAACATCAAATACACTTTAATATTCCTTTTATGTTTTCTGGTTCTCACTGTGAGTTAGTTTTTGGGGCCTATAATTATAAAGCTATGATAGATTCACAACACGATACCCTTTAATCTGAAAAGTTAGTTCTGGAATAAAATTCACAGGAAGGGTTCTGTTAATTGAAAGAAAACAATTTCAGTTATTGATCACTGCACAGTTTGTGTTTTAGTGCGAGAAACCAAAAAGTGTAGGATCAGCAAAAATATTTGCAAAGTAATGTGTTTGTGTCTTTGCAGCAACATAATTTGTTTACAAAAAAATTATTTTATTTAAGTTTCAACATATATTTACATGGAGAAATTTTAAAATCCAAAAAATCTAGGTTATTTACTATTTAGATGTATTTCATTTTCAATTCTTACCAGTCCCAAATACCTTAATACAAAAGGGCTTTCTTTATTAAGCCGTATTGATATTTAATAGATTAAACAAGGAAAACTAAAAAAGAAAATTAAAAAATACATTTATTCTTTTTCCCATAAACATTTTATCAATGTTTTGTTTATTGAATAAGTGTGATCATGAAGAGAAAAACAATTTGTATTTGTATTCAAACCCCCGAACATTTTACACTTAGGTATATATCAAGTGTTTTGTCAGTGTAGATATATAATATATAATATACTGTAGATATATAATATATAACTTACTTCCTTTTTCATTTGTGACCAAGAGGAGCAGTTGGCAAAGTTGGTCAGGGCTATTTTAAACCCTCTGGTTTGTTCAGATTTTCATTTTACACGCGTACAATTTTCATTTTACACGCGTACAATTTTCATTTTACACGCGTACAATTTTCATTTTACGCTCGTACAATTTTCATTTTACACGCGTACAATTTCCATTTTACGCGCGTACAATTTTCATTTTACGTGCGTACAATTTTCATTTTACGCGCGTACAATTTCCATTTTACGCGCGTACAATTTTCATTTTACGCGCGTACAATTTTCATTTTACACGCGGACAATTTTCCTTTTACGCGCGTACAATTTTCATTCCACGCGCGTACAATTTTCATTTTACGTGCGTACAATTTTCATTTTACGCGCGTACAATTTTCATTTTACACGCGTACAATTTTCATTTTACGTGCGTACAATTTTCATTTTACGCGCATACAATTTTCATTTTACACGCGTACAATATACAATTTTCATTTCACATGCGTACAATTTTCATTTTACGCGCGTACAATTTTTGCAAAACAATAGATACAAAAGTCATTGGGAAGACAAAAAAAATGTATTCAAATATAATCAAGAAAGATCCGTCTGAAAACACTGAACTTAGAAAAGTTAATTTCAAATGGATTTTAAATATATTGAAACACCCTTAAAAACTGGTTTTTGTATCTAGTCCTATAAAACTCGTTCTTGGGCCATAAATCAGACAATTTAATAAATATAAAAAAAAATTAAATGTGAGCAGAGTTCAGCGGCTTGAGACGCATCTTTTGATAAATTGATACCCATATCAATATATTTAAAAAATATATTTGTTTCGCTCTTACTAGTTAAATGATTTTTATCTATTATTCCAAAAATTATTTTTAAATTTTTAATTAATTTAATTTAGTTCTCAAGAATATTAAGGCTCAGGTATATTACTGAACCTTAAACGTTTTAATTATTATAAAGTTAAAGTGAAATATGTTTTTCAATTAATTTTTTTAACCCCATTAAAGAGAGTGTTCGCGAAAAATAAAAGGGGATATAGGCTTAATGCGATAAAAAAAGCGCTTTTGATCGCTACTGATTTTACTTCTATCTGTTGCGTTTATAAGGAGAAAATTGTTAAAGACGTCTCATAACGAATAACTTAGCGCCCATACAAATTCAGAAAATACAACTTAGACCGTAAAAAATCAATTTAATTTCAAACAAATCGTTCAGATATTACAACCTATAGTCTTCGATTATCTTTCGCCACATTTGTATACAGTTTATACTTTATAATATTTTATTTTTTTTAGAAAACGTTTTAACGGATTTCGAAAACTGTGGGTGGTGCGCGGCATTCTTAGATAGTTGCGCAAGCGACAAGAGAAATAATCAAATTCAAAACAAATTAATCAAAAATATTATAAAATATAAACAACACTGCATACTCAGTTCAATTACCTTACATAGCCGGTCACTCCCTTTAAGGTTTCAAAGGGTATTAACATCTTTACACGAAGGCTCACAAATTATGCATACAGTCGCGTTAACATTATATCAATATAATGAAGATGAAGATTTAAATTTGGATTTATATTAAGCTTTTAAAAAGCATGGATACGCTGTAATGTGTATACATCTATCTTTCTATCAATCTCATTATCCAATCAGAGATGAATCCTTAAATCGGCACTAAACAGTAAATGAAAATATTTACTTCTACTAAAACTAAAGTGCACCTAATTCGAAAAAAAGCTTGTTACCAACTTAAGTAAGAATTAGTCGTCTTTTTCATATATTGATATAATTGCCTACCACCGTACCTATGTTTTTCTCAATCATGTCTACTTGTTTTTGTTTTTAACCTTTGTGACAGAAACAATCTCAAGAACTGACGAGGGTCAACCCAGACCAAAATATATTTTTAATAAATGTGGAACTAACATCTACTTTTTTACTCTACAGATGTTTGGTCCATCACCATCACCAAAATTTAAAATTGTTTTTTTTTCACTTAGCTATCTGTCTTTGTGTTTTTATCGGATTTGATGAATTCCGAGCATTCGTTGAACTACTTAGAGACGGTTTAACCATGTAACAATATAACTTGTTAAATCTAATTGTTGATCTATTCATAGTGACTTAGAGCCAAGATCTGTTCCAACCAATAGAAGGATGAACAAGAAAGCAGTGTTCTGATTGGTTGGAATTTACCTTTATTAAAGCTGCCTTTTCAATAGGGTTGTTCTTATCTTCACTAAATCTTATCTCAGGCTAACTAACCATCGATTTTTTTAATTGATTTATATGAAAAGGAAACCATAAAAAAATTCTGTTAATGAAAAAAAAATGTCAGACATTGCGAACACTATTTTGTTTACAAAAAATTTCAAAAAAGTAGAAAGTAATCTAAAACTAATTAAAAGATAGAAAAATAGAGATTGGTTTCAGGAGTAAAATCATACTTTAAAAATTTTAAACGATTAATTTAAACTGATTGATGAAACAATTTTACCATTTTCACATGGGCAAAAAAGTGACCTATAGTTAGAAAAGGTTATTAAAAAATTTTAAAAAATTATATAAAATCATTTAAGAGAGGACTAAAAAATACATATGGAAATTTTCTACTTTGGTTTTGTCTGCTTGTCTGATTTTTTGATAGCCCAAATTGAAATTAATATATTTTTTTCATGTTCGTCTCCTCTAGGTTAAATTTATGCGACATTACTTGTGAGACTTTGTGACCTCGTAACTCCTCCAATTTAATTTTTAGCCACAAGTTTCGGAACAGAAAATGTATTTGGTTGCATACTTGAAACTCAAAGCATTTAAGTTGTAGTTTATTTCGTTAAAAAAATCTTTACTCTACTTAATTATATTTTCCTTCGAAATCACTTTTATTATGATATAACTGCTTTATACATATGATTTTATTTGTATCAAACGACGTGGCTATTCACCAACTGTCATGTTTCATGGAACACTCTTTAGATAAGATCAAGGAACTATATACAGGAACGCCCAACTCAGATATACGCAAATTGTGTACTGTACACTGTGGGAGGAATGTAAACCAGTGCCCCCACAGAAGTTGAAGGGAAAGGGCTAAAGCGCTGATGTGATATTACAGTCCAACAAAAAACAAGTTATATCAAGTTCGAGTGAATACCTATAATTTTTGGCTTTATGCCAATATGGAAAATACAATAGCGACACATTTTTATTCCACCCATTGGGCCCTTTTCCCTCTAAAATTATGCGTTGCCCCTGAATTCTTTGTTTTGATCTCCTCCCACTGCAGTACACAGATTTGACGCATGAGATATGGCGGTTCCTGGTCTATATAATTCTTGGATAAGACATAAAAACCTGTAAGTGGGCGACAAACTTCTGTTTAACATTAAAAATAAAAGGAAGCCATTAGCTGTCCTTAATTTATATTGTATAGAAAGATCGAGAAGCTACAATTAACCAAGATTAATAATTCAGGAATAATTTGGAAGAAACTGAATATTTTATTGGAAACAATGGATAATTAATTGACGAAGCAAACAAATCCATGTTTTATAGATTTTATAGGAAAGGGGGTAAAAGGGGCGTAAAATCATGTTGTCCCCGTAACATTTTTTGGACAAGACTTAAAACTATTGGTCTGTTAGGCTGTTAAAATTGTTTGCCTTGTCTAACTATCACATGGCCCCTGCACACGCTAGGGATATTGAACCTATTGCCTGAGTCCTCAGGCATACTACCTTAATGCCAATTATCTTACCTATACCAGATTAAATCTATATTTAGACCTACTCCAGTAATTTGATTCTAACGTTTACAGCTCTTTGAAAATTCATTGATTGCAATGTTGTTGCAAAGAGATTTTTCGACTTTAGTGATCTCTATGGAACTGTCGTCTTTATTTCTAATTCAACTTTTCTAATGAAGAAGTGAAATTATTCAATTTTTTAAATCAAGAAGTCTAATTATTCAGCTTTTCTAATCAAGAAGTGAAATTATTCAACTTTTCCAATGAAGAAGTGAAATTATTCAATTTTTTAAATCAAGAAGTCTAATTATTCAACTTTTCTAATCAAGAAGTGAAATGATTCAACTTTTCTAATCAAGAAGTGAAATTATTCAACTTTTCTAATCAAGAAGAGAAATTATTCAACTTTTCTAATAAAGAAGTGAAATTATTCAATTTTTCTAATCAAGAAGAGAAATTATTCAACTTTTCTAATCAAGAAGTGAAATTATTCAATTTTTCTAATCAAGAAGTGAAATTATTCAACTTTTCTAATCAAGAAGAGAAATTATTCAACTTTTCTAATCAAGAAGTGAAATTATTCAACTTTTCTAATCAAGAAGTAAAATTATTCCACATTTCTAGTCAAGAAGTAAAATTATTCCACATTTCTAGTCAAGAAGTGAAATTTCAATCAATTTCCTTCCTCGATCTGTAGCTTATTACAAACAAGACAGAAGGAGGAGATTAAATAAATGCATTGGATATCACTGATACTTCTAGCTCATCTAGTTTTTATTTTGACATTAGATATTTTAAACATTTAATTCACTCTGATCAATTAGACTAAGTTGAAAGGTTTACACCAAGTTTCTAAGATAAGGCGATTACAAAATTTTAGCTTGTGACAAAGACTCATAATTCCTTTATTCGGTTACTTATTAGCAATTTAAACCATGTTTTTTCTTCTCATTAGCTCAACATTAAGATAAGATTTAAAATTTACTTTAGTATTAAACTTTAAAGCATGCTGAAACAGAAAATCCCTAGCCAGTAAGTTTTAAATAAAATAAATTTGTCTCTTGAAAATTATTTTATTCGGGAAAATTCACGGAACTATAAAGTTTTATTGTAAACATTAAAACACAGATTGTTAATTCTCGGGTATGTTATACAGTCCTGGGTATTAACATGTTATACAGTCCTGGGTATTAACATGTTATACAGTCCTGGGTATTAACAACAAAGTTAGTGAAAGAGCTATCCTAATATGTCATGGAATAATGCACGCTGATTTAACAGTTAAGTCCTTATCTCAGCAAACTGTTACTTCCGGTCACAATTTGACCAATTTTCAACTTATTCTCTTCTATATATAAATTTGGATTGTCTGTCTGTTTGTTTGTCTGTCTGTTTGTATCCAATAAACGTCAAAAAGGCTGGACCGATCGGACCCAAATTTTTTGTGGGAGATCACGTGACCACAGGGAAGGTTTACGAATGATAAAAAAAATGTCTTTTAAAGGTTTTAATTTTGTAAAAAAAAATTAATTCTTGAAATTCCGCGAATTTTTTGTTTTTAAATGTAAACAAAAAGAACATGTTCACAACTTAAATAGAAGATGGGCGCGAAGCGCCCTAAAAGCCTAGAAAGAAGGGCGCGAAGCGCCTTGAATTTCTAGTTAAGAATATTTTGTTCGCGGCGTTGTTGAATTTTGAGAAAAAACACTATAGAATTCAAATTGAGGAATCCAAAGATATCAGTCAGTCCAGGGTTAATGTAGCAGCTTCGATCTCTGTCCTTTGTTAAACTTTTCTTTTTCTTCTTTTCTTCCGAATTTAATGAATTTAAGCCGCGTCTCAAATCCCCCCAAAACCGGTTTCAATTGAGCGCCGGCTTAAATCTTGAAAAAGTTAATGCAATTTTAAGTGGAACCAACCATATTTGAGCCGCGGCTCAAATTCTTTAAATTTGGCCTTAGATATCTTTTCACTTTCACCAAGAATAAGTCAGATTGTATTGAAAGTAAGAAGTAATTAAACTGAGTATGGATAGTCGAACCACTGTTATGGTGTTCTCTCGACCATATTTTGAATACAATTTTCTTGAAAAAAATGTGAAAATATTATATCATTGTCTAAAAAATTGTAATATTTTTTGAAATAAAAAAATAAAAAATTAATCTTCTTTACAAATAAGAAGCATAAATTTTTAATACTGTTTTCAGTTTTCTGACAAAAACAGTTTCTAAACATGTCAAAAATTCATCTATTTTCCATCTTAAAATACAAAATCAATTTAGTGAATGTGTTCAAAATATATTATTCATTCCAACCTACGTATTCTAATGTATCTATTACGTCTGTGGGTATTTTTTTATTGAAACCACTTATTTTTTAATATTTTGTAAGGTTTGTTATTTTGAATAATTTTCCAACCAATTAGATACAAAAAAAACAGCGAAAAATGAATTTTACCGTTTAAATATTTTCTTGAGATTGTTCTAAAATTATCTATCATGTTTTACTGTTCATTAAGAAATTCGTTTTTTCAATGAATAATCTAGGTTTGAAATATCAAAAACTTAAAAAACCATGGTTATAGAGATTTAGGGATTAGAAAATTTAAGTTTGTGGCAAGGACTCAATTCCTTTAGCATGCTTACGCCAAATAACACTTATTGAGCTTAGGATTAAGGCAAGAAATTGTTTATTCAGAATAGGTTGCTAGACCATATACATCTTTCAATATGAATTATCTACACATCCCACTCTATATAAGCTGCATGATTCGAGCCGGTACAACCTGTACTGTATATGAATTCCAGTCCAGTCTGACACCGAGTGTACAGTCGACCCAGCACGTTTAATGCAACAAATGTAGCCTGGCAAGGGACAAGATCTGCAATGTACAGGGTTACCCAGACATAACTAGACTTTAGATACGACTGTACAGAATTTATCAATAACTTTAGATACGACTGTACATACAGAGTTTATCAATAACTTTTTCTCACATGTAAAGTGCTATAAAGTTGTTATAGCTTGCTGCAAATGTATATTTGGTAAAATATTTAATCATTAAAAAACTATACTAGGACAGAATTCCAAGATCACCATAGTTTCAGTAGAAGTAAATATTTCCATTAATTATTAAATAATTCCGCTAATTGACTCGGCATACAGGAGAGAGATGATCACAATCATGACCTTACATTTTTGGAGCTTTGTCGTTAAAGCTTGGAGATAATGTATCTTAACTCAAAATGCAAACCATCCACGCACCTCTGCCCCTTTAGTAAAACTAAATTCAACCTATTTGAAGCATAAAGTCTGACCGCGTCAACCTTGTTGCATAGGCTAGTCTTGTCAAACTGGGACCGGAAAGGTTGACCCAACTCGGAAATTCAAATATACTACTTCTATAACTTAATTATCATATAAGCAAAGTTATCCAGTTACGTATTGAAATTCAAAACAATTTTGTTCATCTCAATAATAGCTCTTCAATAAGCGAATTTATGATTGAAAACATGTAAGATTTCACTCTCAAGCGCAATTTTATTTATTTTGACATGATATTGCTTTTATAAGGTTGCCATGCACATGTTTATGTATAATTGTATTATTTTACCTGTTGTACAGTTTCCTGCTACAAGGTTGACCAGTCACTTCACTTTTCTCATGTACAGGGAACAAACCGCCCAGTACAAAGTCTCCTGGTATCCGTGTACCAACTAAATAATATATAATATAATGTACAAGGTCTCCAGGCAATCATAAACCTACTAAAAGTACAATTGATATAAACATGTACAAATGTAAAGTACAGTAAAATGTTCCCTGATAATCTTGTACAACATGAGCATCATATAATATATACACATTATAGTTCTTTTGTATCCTTGTACCAACTGAATAAATTATAATTATAGACATGCACACATATGTACATAATAACAATACTGTACAAAGTCTCCTGGTATCTGCATGTACCAACTGAATAATATATATAACAGTACTGTACAAGTCTCCTGGTATCTGTGCAGTACCAACTGAATATTATATAATATAGACATAATAACAATACTGTACAAAGTCTCCTGGTATCTTGCAGTACCAATTGAATAATATATAATATAGACATAATAACAATACTGTACAAAGTCTCCTGGTATCTGTGCAGTACCAACTGAATAATATATAATATAGACATAATAACAATAATGTACAAAGTCTCCTGGTATCTGTGCAGTACCAACTGAATAATATATAATATAGACATGTAAAAATAACAGTACTGTACAAGTCTCCTGGTATCTGAATGTACCAACTGAATAATATATTATATAGACATAATAACAATACTGTACAAAGTCTCCTGGTATCTGCATGTACCAACTGAATAATATATAATATAGACATGTAAAAATAACAGTACTGTACAAGTCTCCTGGTATCTGTGCAGTACCAACGGAATAATATATAATAAAGACATAATAACAGTACTGTACAAAGTCTCCTGGTATCTGCATGTACCAACTGAATAATATATAGTATAAGCATGTAAAAATAACAATACTGTACAAAGTCTCCTGCTGTCTGTCCCGTTTCAATGTGTTCCGTGATAGCTAATCAAAATTTTTAGCTCAAAATCTCTAAAACTCTAGAATATGATCGCTGCTAAAGTTTTGTTCTTGAATTTATCATGTCATATAGGATTTTCTTTGTAATTAATTGTCCAGAAAGATTAAATCCATTGAAATTTTTTTTTTTAATTTCCAAAATTGACTGAGTTACGTCAAAAAACCGCAAAAAATGTAGAAGCAAGCTAGACTGTTCTTCTGCCCTAACTCATTTATTTTCAATTTTTTTTCAAAATGCCAACGGATCCGAGTTCCCATGATTGAAAACGAATAAATTGATATGTGACATCATAATTTCATGAATTTTCGTTTTTTTAAACTTTCTTTTGCACTCTTTATAACTATGGTGGTGATTATGTCCTTGAACTTTGCAGGAATGAAAAAGTTACATTGCTCATCGTGTGCGCAATTTTTTAGAATTAGTAATCATTTTTTTTCGATTAAATATTGAATGGAAGAAAACTTGACTAGGCATTTTGTATTTATACATATTATATAGCCCTTATATAAATTATCCGTTATTTAGCTGAAGCAGTGTTTCCTTTTATTGAAAATATCTTCTATATAATAGCCAATCCCAAGATATGAGTGATTGGTGTATGTTCATCATATATCTTATATATATATATACCAGTAAACTACCATACATCAACTTCAAGGGGTAACTTCTAATATATAAATATCTATCTAAAAATGTATATAATATATATAAATATATATAAAATATTTCCATGTATTCAAGAAAGAAGAATAAAATTAACAGAAAGACTTAAATATAAACTAAAGATGAAAGATAGATATAGATTTATAAACATAAAACTTTACAGATATATCATATCACATAAATAAATATCACAAGGGGATCAGTCATTTGGCATACCTTTACACTAGACTGTTAGCTAGAAGGTTTAGGTAGGTAGACTGATAGGTAGGTAAATAGGTATATATATGTAGATAAGTGGATAGATAGATAGCTAGATTGATAGAAAGATAGGTAGATAGGTAGATAGTTAGATAGAGAGACAGGTAGACAGGTAGATACAGGTAGATACGAATATAGATATAAATTTATTTAGGTAAATAGGTAAAGGTAGGTAGATAAGTAGATAGATAGATAGGCATATAGGTATATTGGTATATAGTTAAAAAGGTATAAGTAGGAGATAGGTATAGGTGGTTAAATCGGTAAATAGGTAGATAGGTAGATAGGTAGATAGGTACATAGGTACATAGATAGATATATAGGAATATAGGTAGATATACATACAGGTAGATTGGTAGATAGGTAGATAGGTATATAAGCAGATAGGTAAATAGGTGTATAGGTAAAAAGGTATAGGCATGAGATAGGTAGATAAATATAGGTAGGTAGATAGGTAAATAGGTAGATAGGTATAGGTAGCTAGGTAGATCGGTAGATAGGTAGATAGGTATAGGTAGCTAGGTAGATCGGTAAATAGGTAGATATGTTTTTTTTCCGAGTGAATGACTTCTTTAAATAGGTAGATATGTTTTTTTTCCGAGTGAATGACTTCTTTTTTAGTGGTATTTATTTTCCAGTATAAAAGCCTAAACTGCATAAACACAATATGAGCTTTTACTAAAGGTGGGGGAGGGGGGTGGATAAAGGTGGGGGGGGATTTAGGTTTAAATTTATCAAACAAATTGTAAGTTTTGTTTTTTAACTGCAAAGTCCTGATAAGTGACAAAATTACTTATATTCAACAAAAAAAAAACGCTTATTGAATGACTGCCAAAAAAATATTTTTTTTATTTCGTAATTAAGATAGTATATTCACGATATATAAGCCTATATATAGTATATATCCTCTGATTACTGATTTATACTAACTACTGATTGGTATTCAGTCTTTACTCGTTCAATTCCATTTTGCAATCATCTTGTATTCAACAAGATTTCTACATTGTTAAGTACTCATATTAATTATACATGGTTACAGGAAACTCTTCAAATATAACGAGGCTAAATCATGTATTCTGCCTAGGATATAGTAATTTAATGGCTTATTTAATAATTTGACAAAGAAAGAATCAAGTTTATGGTTCACGCACCTCTGCCCCTTTAGTAAAAGTAAATTCAATCTTTGTGAAGCATAAAGTCTGACCGCGTCAACCTTGCTGCACCGGCTAGTCCTGTCCTTAGAGCTAGGTACAGTACAAGCTTGGACTGGAAAGGTTGACCCGGCTCGGAAATTCAAATGTACTACGGCTGCCCCTGGGTTGCGCATGGAATCGTGAATATAAGGGAACAAACAGTGAAAATTCCGTGCAATCGTCTCTGAAATCTCATCCTTTGTATTTTGTAAATTGTACATGTGTGGGGTTGTTTTAAAACGATCGAATTGGCGTTCTGAAACACTATGACATAAAAATTACAAACGTTCGTTAAAAAATGATTTAAAGTAAATAGTAACCATCTAGCTATATATTTTCATGATAGTCTTACATTTTTTTACAACTTTTTATCGTAGTCTGGATATTTGTGAAAATACTATATCTTAATTATTATCATTGTTCTTAATTCGTTGAAGTTTAAAACACTTAATTGTACCAAGAAATAGAATAGAAATGAATCTAGTAAATATTTATTAATCTGAACAAATTTTTAGCAAATATAAGGTGTACTTTGCGCTTTTTTAGCAAATATAAGGTGTACTTTGCGCTTTTTTGAATGATCTATCTGAAAGTTTTTCTTCTTTTCATAATTCTCAAATATGAAAATAAACATTTCTTGGATTTTCCTGTTTTTTGTCTGATGAATTTCCAAAAAAGAAATAAACTTTAAAAATTTTAATGTTATATATTTAAATCTTAAAGGGACTTGTATATTTCCCCCTTTAAACGTTAACAATGTTTAGGTTTGTATCCAATTTATTTCAACTTCTTTCTTTCGAACACACGAGACAATTGTTGAAAACATCTGTTTTAAAAATATAAAAAGTTCTTAATTAAGAAGCTTAAGAAGCTTAAGAATCCTCATTACAGCAACTGCTTTTGCTTCTCTTTCAAATACGTTTCAATATAAGTTTGGTCGACAAGTATAAGGTGTTTAAAAAACACTTAACACTTTTTTCTCTCAGAGGCATAATTTTTACCCAATCATGATGAAAATTATATCACAATGCCTCCATAACTACTAGAAAAAAAATATTGGGTTTTGTCAACCTTGCTTTGAATAATTGCTCTTTGAATCTTGGGGATGGAACAGATTAGCGTACATATGGTCCATATGGAGTAGTTCCTTTTTCCACAGATTTTTTCTCTTTTGCCTGACATACAACCTTATTTTTTACTTTCTCCCAATTACTCGCAATTATAGGCCGGACATTGATATTAAAACAAATCCTAATATTTAAAAAAAATTCGGGAAAATACGGCTCGGGTCTAAGCTGTCATTAGGCCTTATTTAAGGCTTGAGCTTTCGGATTCAAGCTGCATCTTATTTTCGACAGAGTTGAGTTCAAAAAACCGGTTTAATATTTTATTCGGCGGATTTTCATGGTAGGAATTCAGGGTTTTTATGAGAACAAGACGCAACATTTAGTCTTATTCTCCACTAAAACCAACCAAGGTCGGTTTTTTTCATTGGGTCTTAGTACTCCTTAAGTCGAGCCTAAGATCTTGAAGCTGTCAATCACGTGACACAAGCTGTCGTTAGAGTTGGGTCAAAGATTGGGTCTTAAAGTCGGGTTTAAGGAATTACGATTCGAGTCGAAGTTTTTAAATCGCGAGCTCAGTAAATATTAATCGCCATAATTATTGGTATCTTTTTGTCGGAAAATTCATTTAATCCCGCTAAATTATTGGAAGCTGCAATTTTAGAAAATGATTAACAACCAGGGATTTCACGGGTTTAAATATTTAACTCGTCGATTTCATTGAGTTATTTAGCAGCATAAAGTAATTGTTTAATTTAAGCTGAAACTTTACATTTAAGCCATTGCACCGACACATCCCTTCAACTGAATTTATTAGTATGGTTTGCATGAGCTAGGTAGGAAGGTTCTGGTTCAGATAACTAGTAATTAATGGGCTCATTAAACTTCTAAAATCTAGGGGTCTACACAGATCCAGACTTTCTGAGACTGGTTAAACCATCCTAACTTCCTATATTCTTCAAGTACAGCAATTTGGATAGATAGGCTTCATCTAAATTGTCAGGCATAGTCCCTTAGACTTTTTAACTTTAAAGCTGCTCGGACCGACGCGCGTAAGAATAAAAGCGCGCGAAAAGTTGCATCAATTTTCAAGGATGGGTCGAATTTAAAGCGTCGCAACACCTTGGCTTTTGATTTATCTTACTCAGATTTCCTTTTATGGAGCCCTATCCTTATGAATTTTAGAATTGTAAATGCGTTGTTTTTAGCTTTAGTTTTTTAGAAATAAATGGCCAAATTATGATTGATTTTTGCAAAGGAGCTTGCAACCTTCGGATCACTGTGGTGGGTATACTCTATACAGATTACAGGGTTACATTTTAAGCTATAAAAGGGAGACGGGGGGAGTAAAAAGGATAGAAAGTCGAGGATTCGAAAAAAGAAAAAAATTGAATTACGCAGAATGTATTGTTAACACAATGTGATTAATCCCTTTAAAACAAGTCTATAATGCAGATTTGGTTCGCGGGGAAGGGGGCTTGTAGGTTTTTTTAGGTCAAGGTGCGAGAATAGTTTAAAATTGTCCCGGAAATACAGAAATATTTAATGTTAAAATTCCTTATTAGGAAATTCTAACCAGCAGCTAGTGAAATGTATTGCATAGTTTTTAAAAAGTATTTTAAAACAGACTGTTCTCATTCTGGAAAATGATTTTTGAAAATGCTTGAATCCTTGGGTTTTCGTTTTCAAATGCTTTTTTATGTTTGGATTTAACAATATTCTTTAAAATTTAAATGTTTCGCTTTTAAAACCATAACTTTGTAAATACGTCAACGAACTGTTTCTTTTTACAAGTTTTTAAAACATTTTCTGTGTTTTATTAAGTTTTTATATTTTTGAAATAAAACTGAAGTTGCCTATCCCTACCAAAGCAGCAGATTATAATGGAAATAGTCTTCGCTTTCAAATGTTAATCTACTGTCTTCTCTTTGCAGAGTAAATTGAAATATTATTTTAATGTTTTCTTTAAAATGATTTAAGTAAACGGTTTAACTTCCTCGCTGCAGGATGATTTATTATTCTATAAGGAAGTTCACATGTATTATATTATATACTACATGAAGTGTACGCACCTCTGCCCCTGTAAAAGTAAATTTAACCTATATGAAGCATAAAGTCTGACCTCGTCAACTCTTTGTTGCACCGGCTAGACCTGTCCATAGAGTCACGTACAGTACAAACTGGGACCAAGGTTGGCCCAGTTCGGTAATTCAAATGTACTACGGCTGCCCGTGAGTACGTTACATAAAATTCCTAGCAAACGAAGAAAGAGTTCTTCTCTAAGGCAATAGGGTCATTTGTCAATACATCGTGAGCGTTCCATGTTGCCTTAGAACTGAACTTTTCCTTCATTTAATAGGAATGTTATCAAAACAAATTCTTACCAAATGTATAATGTATATGTAAATATATGTGAATTAGCATAAATATATACCATTCCAAAACTATATTCCAAAAAATGGTTTGAATTTTTGTTTGCTAATAGACGATTTTTTTACTTAGATTTATTCTTTCCAAAATTGATCTGATTTGTACCTGAAACATACGTGGGCTGAACTACTGGTAGTACAAGAAAGACGACTTTCCACATCAGACTCAGCTTCATACCGTTCATCAGCTTCAAGCAGCTCAATGGCTTGAATAAGCTCAGCATCTAGACATGATTTAATTACAAAGTAACTCATCACAAACTAGCAAGAAAGAGAAGGTAAATGTATGCAACAGAACTGGTACGACTTTGTGACCTTGTAGCTCTTGTCATTTTGATTTGGGGAACTGAAATAGTTTAAACGGGATAGGGTTCAATGGTTGGTAATTTTTATTTACACTATATTTAATGAGTGTCAAGATGATTCACAATGGTACTCTATAATCCTCTATATAAGGAGCAAAAGAAGCTATCTTAGTTTTCTATTTTTAATGAATTCTAATATTTTTCATCAATGATAAGAATTAAAGGGACCGTTCACTTATTTGGGTAATTTCAGGGTAAACTAAACAGCCTATTCGCTGTTGATTGGTAATAGTCGTACTTTTCAAAGACAACTGTGGCCGGAGAAAAAGCCAATTTTTCGTTCAGAATTCGAGCGGAAAGGGACGGTCCCTCTCTATAGAATAGGCTGTTTAGTTCACCCTAAAATTACCCAAATAAGTGAACGGTCCCTTTAAGTCACTTCTATAGATTTTAAAATAATCATCTTTTGGAAGATAAAGAAGGACTTTTCATTCATCCTTCATTAGACAAAGATTTAAGGCCAGCGCTGTAAAACAGCCAAGACACTCTTTTAAAGGTGTTCACTTGAAATTACGGCTCCATGCCCTTTAGACTATAGAAGCTCCCCCCCCCTTCCTTTCTAGGTGAGTTTTCAAATTTAGAAATATTATTAAAAGCATTTTTTTGCTTCATTTAACTCTAAAACGTTTTCGTGCAAGTACATTAAAACAAAATATCTAGTTTTTCTCAAAATAAAGTCCAATCTATAATATTTCTCTAAATTTTATTAACAAGACGAGAATTCAGAAACTTAAGATCATCATGTTTTTAAGCGCTTTAGGTCGTCATTTAAGTCTCATCCTTTGTGGGTAACCCTGTACTATCAAATCGATCAAATTAAATATTTAGAGTTTCTTATATTTATAAACCAGATTTGCTTTAACAACACAATGGGAAAAGGATCTACGATTTACGAGGTTACAAAGTTCAGGTAATGTTGGTTCGATGTAGGTTTGTTTTGTTTGCAATGATTTCAACCAACTTAGATTTTTTCGGAGATTTGTCGTGTTAAAATTATGAATTTTCATTCATTAATCATAAAAATTTAAACCTTTTTCTTCTGAATAGCTCTTTAACAAGAGGAGTTAAGATTGAAACATGTAAGATTTCAATTAAACGTGATTCTGATCCTTTTATCAGATACTTAGGAGTAATTTTATGTGATACTCATAGAGAATAGAATATATATTAGAGTGGAATTTAGCCAATCCCTCGGTATGAAGTTTTTAAGTCCCTTTCAGCCTGAAAGGGAGTTCAAAGTGTACAAATCATGTAAATGTTCATAAATTATGTGCAGTAGAGTTCATTAATACAGTCTGTTCCCTAGACTATTCATTTCAATTTCGAATTTTTTAAAGCTGTTAAATAAACTTTATAAAATGAATTAGGTAAATAAAAAACATCATTTGATTTATTCTAATAACGGAAAATCATCGTTTGTAAAGTGAAAGGCATAGAGTTTATGTGAAATGATCATTGATCAATTTTGAAACCAGCCTATTTCATGATTCGGTTTTCTTTTAACAATAATTTTAGATTTTCTACAAAATGATGTTCCAAATGGTTATATAGCCCAAATATGTGAGTTCACCTGCAGTATGGAAACAGTACAACAAAATGACCGTTTTACACTTTTTTCAAGTAAATTCCACTCTAATATATATTCTATTCTCTTTGGTGATACTGGATGACAATACCAGATTCACAACGGAATCCTTTATATCTTTATCTGATCAAAAATGTGGAGGATATTGTTGTTTTTACAGGTTGAGCAGTTTTCCAAATTAAAACATTAATATATCTAATTCATTCCTAATCAGTCAAAGCCTTTATGGGTACCCTTGTGAATCGTATATATCCCTCTTGACATGAAGGGTCACTTGAAATTACGCTATCAGTCCCTTTAATAAATCTTTATTTATGAATGTTTAATGTGTTATAGTTAAAACATGAATGTACATTATGAGGGTATGATGGCCTAGACAATTTTTTTTTAGAATCATGGTATAATGGTATCTAAACATAGTGTTATAAAGTATCTAAACGTAGTGTAATAAAGTATAAAAACACAGTGTTATAAAGTATATAAACATAGTGTTATAAAGTATATAAACACAGTGTTATAAAGCATATAAACACAGTGTTCTAAAGTATCTAAACACAGTGTTATAAAGTGTATAAACATAGTGTTATAAAGTATATAAACATAGTGTCATAAAGTATATAAACATAGTGTTATAAAGTATATAAACACAGTGTTATAAAGCATATAAACACAGTGTTATAAAGTATCTAAACACAGTGTTATATAGTGTATAAACATAGTGTTATAATGTATATAAACATAGTGTTATAATGAATATAAACATAGTGTTATAAAGTATATAAATACAGTGTTATAAAGCATATAAACACAGTGTTATAAAGTATATAAACATAGTGTTATAAAGTATCTAAACATAGTGTTATAAAGTATCTAAACATAGTGTTATAAAGTATCTAAACATAGTGTATCTAAACATAGTGTTATAAAGTATCTAAACATAGTGTTCTAAAGTATTAAAAACAGTGTTATAAAGTATCTAACCACAGTGTTATAAAGTATATAAACACAGTGTTATGAAGTATATAAAAATAGTGTTATAAAGGTTCTAAACACAGTGTTATAAAGTGCCTAAACACAGTGTTATGAAGTATCTAAACAAAGTGTATCAAATTATCTAAACATAGTTTTATAAAGATATCTAAACACGGTTCTATAAAGCATTTAAACATAGTGGTATGAAGTATCTAAACATAGTGTTATAAAGTATCTAAACAAAGTGTTATAAAGTATCTAAACATAGTGTTATACAGTATCTAAACATAGTGTTATAAAGTATCTAAACACGGTTCTATAAAGCATTTAAACATAGTGTTATGAAAAACCTAAACTTTAGAAGTGCACAAAAAAACTTTAAAAACAAAGGTAACCCACACAAACCTCAGAAACTGAAATGTTTTGATATTTCTTATTTCTTTCACATTATAAATATCCCCCTTGAGTATAGGTTTAAATAATAATAATGTCTTATTTCATTGTTCCATTGTGTTATTTGTTAACACAATTTTACATTTTCTACCCCCGGCCCTATTAACTTGTTGAATGAGTGAGCACTGAGCATACAAAACAGCCAATACTAATTATTAGACTTTCCATAGGAGTGTACTTTCTTAATAGTTTATATGATTTATAGTAATTATAGATAAATATATTTAGTTGGCTTTATTTAAACTAAGGTACATAGCACGTTAGAAATAATCAATCAGAACTTTTATTATTTAGCAAGTTTTTTAATTTCTAGTTTATAACCAAATAAATTTGCTTCTTGAATACTAAAATCAAAATATAAATTTACCCTTTTCCTACTTTCTAGGTTAGTGTGAAATTTAGGTTGTCCAAATATTGCTTATTTCCAAGTTTTTTTGCAAATTCTCCTGTTTCAGCAAAATTAAAATTTTTTTTGGAGGGATTTGCTTTAAATTTTCATCACCATAAACACTTTTAGGGACATTTGAGGTTTCACAAGATTAAAATCTTCGAAAATTATCGGCAGATTCCGTTAACAAACGGCAAAAATCTTTAATATTTATAGATCGGCTTAAAAACGGCAACTTTTTTATGATTTGATTTGTATTGCTTTAAACTTAGAGAAAATTATAAATACATTTTTTTATTTTTTAATGTTGTTTTTTCTTGCTCCGGCATTTTTTTTAATAGTAAAATTAATTCTTGAACCCTTGATGCATGAAATAATCATTAACGGCCATGGCATCGTTATCGATTTTCAAAATATCGAGCGTTAACGAACGTCCAGTTCTTAGCTTGAACGTGCACGGAAACTATTCCATTTCATTTTTTTTACGAACCGTTAACGAACAGGTCGAAAAAGTCTTTATAGGAGCAATTATACATTTTAAACGTTTATAATAATGTGATATCCGTCAAGAATCAGCAGCGGTTAGTTTTATCTATTTATCGAGTTATTTTTTACATTCAAAGCTATGAACAGATTCAGTTTTTGTTAAAGAAAAGGAAAAGAATATTTTATTTAAATAAAACCATTTTCAACTTTTATAATTTCAAAATTTTCCTCGTTAAATTTAGATAAGGAGTGAAAACGACACTTCTTTTATAAGGAATATAATAAAATATGAAAATAATAAAATATGAAAATAATAAAAAACCTCCACTTCACTGAGTACTATACAGAAGGAGAAGGTTGTATTTGTGTGATATTACTGGTATCACTTTGTGACCTCGTTGGTTTTACGCACAAGTAATTCAGAAATTCAAAATAATTTAGTTCAATACTCAATAGCTCTTAAAAAAATGTAACGAAAACATATGAAATTTCTATATTTAAGTAGTATGTTACTTCATGTAACGTTAGTTATATAGTTGAATGTGGCATTTGGCTTGTCTTGAATTGACATTTTGTAGCAAACACAATATTTGTAAAATTACTCATTATTAAAGTTGTAGGAATGCAAAATTGCAACTTGGAAGGGAGTGTTTATTTTTATGTATATCATAATTTTTTTTATATATTCATTACAAATAATTCTTTTTAACACCCCTAAATGCGGTGCACACAAAGAGACATTCTCTTCGGGTACACATTTCTGAAGTACTACAACGGTAACATAAAAAATTGCGAATTTAATTGACTCCTGTGCTGAAAACTTTGGAAATTCGGATATCGAGATCAATGCATGATCTTTTCTTTTTTTTAATCTGAAGATTATTTTAATCTCTTGTTTGTATCCTGGAAAGTGTCAACCAATCAGAGTGGCGTATGTTGAATCCAAAGCAGCCAATTAGAAGGTAGGAAACTTTGAAATTGTGGTCAGAATCCTGTAGGGATATCCAAACATAGGGAAAAGAGCGGATGAAGCTGAAATCAAGTGTCGCCGTGGATATTCAGATTAAGCGTTCGATATTAAGGGTATCCAATTAAAAAGGTTTCTGCTCTGATCGTATATAAAGACAATTATTTTAAAGAAAACTGAAGAAAAGAAGTTAAATTAACATAGTTGGTTCAAGAAGAAAGTTAGATCTAATGTCAACATTTAGTTTCAACTTTTATTCCAACTTTTTCGTTTCAAAACTTTAAATCAAAGTTTTAATGAATTTATTTGTCTTATTTCAATAAACTGCAAAATTTTAATTCTGAAGGGGCTTATGCAATTTTAATTCTTTGTGAATTCATTGATTATTGTATTCTGGTTACTTCTAAATGCTACAAAAGCCCGATTTACGTTTAATGATAACAAACAAACAAACCTAAAATCAAACATTCAAATCACATATATGGAATGATTTCATATTACAGAAAAGAAAGATATCTACAAGCATCATATCCATGAAAGGAAATGGGTTTTTGCCACTTACTCTAATATTTAATCCATATATCTTTTTAACACGATGTTGAGTTTGAAATATCAAATGTTTACACCATTAGGTTTCAAAGATAAAAGGATTAAAATATTTTGTTTGTGAAAAAAATTCAGTTCCTTTGTTTTAAAACTTATTTTATTTAATAATGGATGAATTTCAAAAACTGACAAATTTCAGACTAAAAGTATAAATATTTAAACAGGTTTTATACTTTATTCATAAACATCTGCGGTCAAATTTCATTTATTTTATAACTTTTTTGTGATAAGAGAAAAAGGACAATTAGAAATATTTAAAAAATAATCTTTTTGAGTCTTTGCCACAAACTTTGATTTTCTAATCCCTATCCTTGCAACATAATCTCGTAAACCTTAGATATTTCAAACTGTATGAATTATGTTAGTTCAATAAATCTAAGTTTGAAATATTAAAAGTTTACACCATCAAGTTGCACAGATATATGGACTAGAAAATTTCAGTTTGGTATAAAAAACAAAATTCTTAATTTTAATACAATTATTGGTAATCTCGAAATTTGTTCGAAATTCTTGCAACATACTGTAATGATGTTGTGATTTTGTTGATCTTTTACGATCAGAGCGATTCAAGGAATCTTAAGATCGCTGCGATCATAGTTACCTAGGGGTATCATCCCCCCCACCCCTTGTACAGACTTTGGAATTATAACGGTTTTAGTTGTGTTTACGTGATAATTCTAACAAGCCAAAACACATCTATAAATAACCCAAGCGACGCCTTTATTCCGTTATTCCGGAGGGCGGGGTGCAGGAGAGTCGGCCCGATGAGCCCGGGGAGCTAGGGTTAAGATCTAGGCTAGGGTGTAGCGAAGCCGGAGAAAAAGTAGTTAGTTGTGAACCAACCCGTTCGATGAGAAGTGGAAGAATATCCTGAGTATCCATCTTCCACTGATTATTATTCTGTTCATCGATCGTATAGTATCAATTTAGTTTATTCGTGTTTGTATAAAAACAATAATAATAAATTGTAAAACCGTCTCGCTGAATATTAGATAATTTGAGTTGTTGTAATGAATTTTTAGCATATACAATAATACGAATTTTTATTTCCTTGGTATTCTCTTTTTTTAAATCTTTTTTATGCACCAAGGCCACCAGGCCATTATGGAGGACGGTCAAGTTTACATCTTTGAAGCCCAATGTCGCAGATCTTCGAATTTTAAACTATGGATTTTGTTAGATCAAATCAGGTTAAGAACATTCCCGTGGTTTTACCAAGTTCCGCGATAAAAATTTGAAGCAAATTGGTAAAGGGGTTTCCCAGTTATGATCGGAGATACACACAACGAAAAAAACTGACAAACAACTTACAACTTGATGTTAAAGATATAGATATCATATATACTGTATATATATTTAAATAGACATAATTCTATGCATTTATAGATTTCGGATTCTGAAACTCCATTCAACTCTAAATTAAGTTTATTGAGAAATAGCTTAGATGGATTTATTCCATATAAAGATGTTTCCACTTTTAAATTGAAAAGATGCTTCCACTTTTAAATTAAAAAGAAACTGATTTTGAAAACTTTTTATGTGTGAATTAGTCCTGTTTCTAGTTTAGAAAATTAAAGGTCTTACCATCAGGGTGCAAACATATACAGTCAATAAAGTTGCAATGATATAAAGACATTAGCATTAGCGGTGAATAATCAGTACCTATGAATGGTGCATATGCAAAATGGCGATATAATATTTAAATGAATGATTAACGAATAATCAAAATGACTGAAATAATCTAGACTACATTTATTTGTTGGATGGTTTTGACGGTTAAAAATAAAAATTTTGCCTTAAAGTATTTTAAAGTTGTTGAACATGTTCTAACAAAATCCGAAAACTGTTTATAGCTGTTTATTATTTATTATAGAGTTAAAAAAGCTGCAGTCTATACAGCTAAGTTATCTTTACAGTATATGTAGTATGTACATTGTACACTGTACACTGGATATCAAGACCAGCAGCTGAATTCCTAAACTGATATCCAATACAAGATTCCAGCTCTGAGACCAGATTTAATGAATAGCAAACATTGTTAAACCTCTTAGACATGGCTCAACCTCTTCTATCTTCAGAGCTGAAAACTTTAGAACGGTGGATATCGAGATTAATGCATGATCCTCTCTTTTTCTTGATATCGAGACTAATCTAATCTTGTACTTGTATCCTGAAAAGTGTATAAAATTCAACCAATCAGAGTCGCGTATATGAAGCCGATAAATTTCAAATTTTGCGCGCCATTTAAGATTATATACAGAAATGGGAGGAACTCTCTAAATTAGAAAAACTGGTTTTTTATTTTTCTCTAATCCAAGAAAGAACGGTATAAGAAGAAAATCAAAAGTGTATCCATTGGATACTCAGATTAAGTATTTGGGATTAAGGATATGTTTTCAGCTCTGGTTGAACTATGACCGCACGGTTCAGCTATTTCTCGCTTTACATAATACAAATTTTAATCTTCGAATATTTGATCCAGTGTAATAGTTTTAAAGGTTACGACATCATCAGGTTGCAAATAAAGATTAGAAATTTACCATTTTGGAGAAAGTCTGGAGATTGTTTGAAACATATTAAATAAAAATAATATTGTTTACAATGCATGTGTTTGTGTATGTCACTGTCAGCTCGAAAAAATTGTGTTCGACATTTTTCCAAAAATAGTATTTTCTATATTTCAATTGTAAATATTTCTCTCAAATGTGTATTATTATACCTCAACATTAGTAATTCTCCTCAAGACAAAAAACACCTAGTTTACAAACTTTTGTTCAAAACATGCAATTGATGATTACAGAAAACTATTTGATTTTCTTGTGTCTAAATAAAATCTAATCAAATTGATGATTCAATCCATAATATTTGTTTATATCTTTATTGGATAAATAAATGGATTATTAAGTGATTTGCCTACCCTGCACTTAAAGGTAAACGAAACTGTAGTTTTGATAGGGTTAGGGCCAGGAGTTTAAATATGTTTTTTCTACCCCCCCCCCCCCTATCTTTAATTCTGAAAAAAAACCTTTGCACTTAATTGGTTGCATGACTTTCTCAGACAAAATGGCTTAAGTTGACCGAAGAATATTATTTTGTCATTTTTCTATAAATAAGAAAGGGTAATTTAGTTTTTATCTATACTGCATAGTTTAATGGAACATAATACCGTTCAGTAATAAATATGATATAGATAGATTGACAATCTATTTGAGATAGCCCATAACTTTTTATTAATAATTGAAAACTGATTGAAAAATAAACGTTAAATCTATTATAAATATGGATATAAAAACACATTTAAAATCACAAATGTAAATTCAAAATGTGTTGACACAAAAATCAGGCTATGAACATCATGAATTATCACTTGAACAAGAATTAGGACAGCGCCATGAATTTTCATAAAATATACTTACTTTGACCAAATCTTCAAACTCCAATTAATCTCATTTTAACTGTTCTAACGAGTTTGAAATTAAATCATTAATTTCCTAATTCAAAATAATGGTTTGTGACAGAAAGTTGAAGAAAAAAAAATAGAAATAGAAAATTGAAGGAAATCAACATTTATCTGATTATACAGATAAATAAAAATAAACATGGTCATAATGTACCCTAGTATATATCAAGAAGGATGATTGTAATCTTGCATTTGACACGATGTTTATATATCAAGGTTTGCTATGGAACTAAAACCTCGGAGAAGAACGAGGATGCCTGATTCTCCGTCAAGTATCCTCGCTAGTCCAACCCTACAACATACTAAACAACCAGTTTTCAGATAGGTAAACAAGTTGTTCTGTTTACACATAAATGCTCGCAGATTTTCTTGTTTTTATTTGCAGATTTTCTTCATTTTCCTATCAGGAATATCAGCTTATTCAGCCATACACGTTTATATAATAAAAACAAACAGGAAAAGCTAAACATGTAAAGATGTAGTAGCTTATAAGTCATTTCATAAACATACAAGTGGTTATATTAGGTTTAGTAAAAGTAAAGTTATTTAGATGTCGAGTACTTTCTCAACGGCATTTTCCCAAGCGGCAACTTACCAAGGGTAATTTTCCAAGTGGTAACTTCCCATATGTGCAATTTCCCAAGCAGCAATTTCCCAAAAGTCTGTCCTAGCCGCAGCGCTCGGCAACTAATATCTTCTAGCTTGGCATTACCTCAGAATACCTAACCTAACATTTGAAATGTTGCCGCTTGGCAAACTGCACATTTGTGAAAATGGCACTTGGGAAATTTTGGGAAATTGTCACGTGGGAAGTCGCTCCTGGAAAAATGCCGTTGGAAAATTACATAACTCCGTATTATCAAAATGTTACTAAATGATAAAAATGGTGATAAAATTTTCAAAGAAATCTTTTCTTATTTTTACAAAAGAAAAAGTTTCTAAGATATCATTAGTTCTAGGTTCTTTTGTCTCGAAAATTTTCTTGAAATAAATTTAATAAAATTATCCTGAAGGAAAAGATAAAATGTCTTCTGTCAAATCGAAAAATTGACATGTTTTCCAAGATTAAATAAAAAAGTGTAAAAACAGAAAATAAAGATAACATAAAATTGCACTTTTTTTACTGTAAGATAAGCACTTTATTATGAAATTATCACTATTATTAATAATTTTGTCGGACACAAAAACTGAGTTGGCAACTTGTGACGTAAGAATACAGCTGTACTGAGAGTGTACAAACTCTACATTGCCATCTATCGTACTAGAATCTATCTATTCTATCTTTATATTATATTTTTTCTAGGAAAGCAAACATACTCTGTTTCATTTTAGATATTTAAAACATTTTTGTCAGTCTAAATAGCTCATCTCAAAAAGGAGATATGATTAAAAACATTTGAGAACATGTGGGGGGGGGGGGGCAAAGCAGTAGGTATGAAAAACCTTTTTTTAATTAAAGTATATTAGTTGAAGTAAAATTGGTAAAATTAGATTTTTTTAATTTTTAATTTAATTTTAATTTGTTAGATTTGAACAAAATCTGACATAGTTGATATTTTTGTTATTATTTGAAAGCAATAAGGTGTTGGAAACTTATTCCTCCTTAATTTTGTTTAGTTTAAGGGACAGTAAGCGACACACCAGGAAACGATAAGAACGCCCGATGTTAATCGGAACCAATGAAACCAGAATAACTATGAATTAGAAATCCAGGTTAAAGTATCTCAAAATTGTTAATTCATTTGCGAAGAACTTGAGCATTTCTTGCCATAAGAAGCAATGGAGAAACATACTAAAATATCTGTTAGTTAGGAAAACGACGTTATCTTCACAACTGTTATGAGATCAAGGTTTCAATGGTACCGTTGTAAATTGGACATTGCGATCAGAGCATTGGAGGTACCCTTGATATGACTCTTGAAGTAAATTGAATTTCGACTGAACTTAAAATAAGGTTGTACAACTTTTGAAAAAAAGTAATATATTTTTTTTCATTATTAGGGATGGTTTTTGACAAAAGCTCATTTAATTTTCAATCCTTTTTTTGGTTTAAATTTCTTAAAAAATAGAATATCGTTATTTTTGATTCCTTTTACATACAGTTAATACAAGATATGATGATATTTTTTAACCTATTGTCAAAGAAAATCGATTTATATAAATTTTTAAGATATAGTTTTCATTTTAAAATAGATTGTAAAAATATTTTTCTTATTTATAAACAGATTGTAAATATATAAATCTTATTAAGAAACAGATTGGCAAGATAAAGTTCTTATTTAAAAAAAACAGATTAACAAGTTTTAGTTTTTAGAAACAGATTGGAAAGATAAAGATGTTATTTTAAAAACATATTGGCAAGATATAGTTTCATTTAAAAACAGATTGGCAAGATATAGTTCTTATTAAGAAACAGATTGGCAAGATATAGTTCTTATTAAGAAACAGATTGACAAGATATAGTTCTTATTAAGAAACAGATTGACAAGATATAGTTCTTATTAAGAAACAGATTGATAAGATATAGTTCTTATTAAGAAACAGATTGACAAGATATAGTTCTTATTAAGAAACAGATTGGCAAGATATAGTTCTTATTAAGAAACAGATTGACAAGATATAGTTCTTATTAAGAAACAGATTGGCAAGATATAGTTCTTATTAAGAAAGAGATTGGCAAGATATAGTTCTTATTCAGAAACGGATTGGCAATATATAGTTCTTATTTAAAAACATATTGTCTAGATTTTAATTTTAATTCAAATACAGATTGTCAAGATATAGTTCTTACGTAAAAACAAATTGTCAAGATATAGTTCTCATTTAGAAACAGATTGTCAAGATAAAGTTAATAAACATAAACAAGATTAATAAACATATTTAATTATTTTTAAATAAATGTTTATATTTGATTAAGTCAATTGAGCCTAAGTCTCTCCAATCCTAGATGGTCTAGATTGATATAAAGATCTGACTCTATCTCCAGAGTGGGTTCCTAAAAATGATCATAAATATCTTATTGCTGTTTAGTTTCTAAGCTGTGTTCGCCCCAGGACCTGGATCTAGAGCCGGTCAGATGGCTTATGGTGTTGATATTTTCATTTGGTACAGAACAATCTCAATATCCTTTCTGACAGAAAAATCAAGACGCACACTTAAATATTCTCAGTTTCAAGCTCATATCCCTCTTTTAACGCATTAATTAATACACATATATTTGATATTTTGTTGATATTTTTCATTCGGTACACCGACCAATCTCACACAATTCATGGTTCTCATTTCGAATACTCATTTCCCTCTTTTAAGGAATTAATTGATACACACACACACAAGATATTTTACTGATGTGTTAAATTTATTTTCTTTAACCATCTTCTTATATATATTTTCTCTGCTCGGGTTCCCAATTGACCATAATATTTTTGAGGCAACACATGACCAAAGGCCGGTCGAAGATTAAAAACTATGAAATTTATTATTTTTGTACATGCCCAGTTTAAACCGTTTAATCCTCGAAAATTTTATTAAAAACGGCGACTCTAAAGAGTTCAAAGCTAAAACTGTAGAATTTTTTAAAATTCCGTCAAATTAAACAGAACAATCTGTGTAAAATATCACGACTTAAAAAGCAAAAGTTGATAGCTAAAATTGTTACTAGAAAAGGGGGTTGAAACGGCCTAAAAGCCTAGAATAATACAAATTTAGGATGTTGCATTTACTCAATTTACATTGATTGAGTTCGTATTCTTACCACCTCATTCTTTAAGTAATATAAATGTTATACAATGTTTTTTTTAAATATAAAAGTTTATGTTAAACTATAATATGCTTGCTGTTTACTAATTGCTTTTGTGTGTGTTTAATTAATGTTTATACTTAATATCAATTATAAGTAAATATGTAAAAAATGTCCATATTATACAGTTCACTACAGCCATAGATTAACAACAAAACAACTAGAACACTAGATGTCGTCTTTTCAAGATTTAGTGTTTTTTAGTTCACATTAACCCTGAGACAGATGTCCAAAGGATTTAAAACAGTCTATCTCTCTGTTCATTCTCCCAATGCGGCATACGCGTAACTCCTTTAGGCTTCTGCCTAATGGTTATTTGAACGAAAAATCCCTAAACCTTATAAAAAACGACATCTACTGTTTTATCTGTATATAGTTATTAATCTATGATTCAGAAAACTGTGGAATATGGAAGACCACTTTAATATACAATATATATATTTATAAAAAGTAACACGAGCATGAGTAACAGGAATTAAACAACCAAAAAAAAAAATTAAAGATTGCTTTGATGTCGTCTTCCTATTCAACTTTTTCTAGTTCACACTGTAGGTAAATCAGATATTTATTGGCAAAGCAACAATTCTGGAGTTTTGAGTGACGCTGCACGTTCTCCAAAGAAATATATATTCACAAAATATTGACCATTTCTTTTGTGGTTTTTGCCGCGATTTTACCAGTTATCTGAAAATATAAAGCTAATATCTGGTTTCTTATCCCGGTTTTTACTACACTTGCAAGAAATTAATTAAGGGGCTCTGCCTATAAACAGATGTAGAGTTTGTTTATAAAAACAAACGGATTGAATGCCAACCTCCTTTGATCGTTTTTTAGAGAACACACTATAGTTGTATAGTGCTTAAACCAATCAAAATACACTATAGTTGTATAGTGCTTAAACCAATCAAAATACACTATAGTTGTATAGTGCTTAAACCAATCAAAATACACTATAGTTGTATAGTGCTTAAACCAATCAAAATACACTATAGTTGTATAGTGCTTAAACCAATCAATTTAGGGTTCAGACAGCGCAATAAAGAAAGATCACATGTTGGCTATTGCGGGACAGGACAATGTAAATTTTATAGGTTTTGTTTCAAGAATCATTCATGTGAATAATTAGGTTGACAACTGAAATTCCCAGGCTTTTAAAGTTGTCATGTTCTGTGGCTTTCTGTTTGACGAGCTTCTTATAAATTGGTCTACATTTCTTGTATCTTATAAATAGGTCTACATTTCTTGTATCTTATAAATTGATCTACATTTCTTGTATCTTATAAATTGGTCTACATTTCTTGTATCTTATAAATTGGTCTACATTTCTTGTATCTTATAAATTGACGAAGATATCAGGTATTTATTAGATATTAAATTGATCAAATTTATTAAATAAATTGAATTTGTACAAATCTCTGTCAATTTTTTAAATATAAAAGTTCTAGACCACATTTTGAAAATCTCAAGACCAGACGTGTTCGATTTTAGATGTTTAAACTGGAATACTGCAATAATTGTGTTCATGAAAAAAATTTCGCATGGATTGAAGATGATACAGTGAAACCCTTAATAACGAATACATCGAAAGAATTCATCAAATGTCGTATTCTTCACTTTCTGATAATGGAATGTTGAATATATTTAGTTTTTTAATTAAATGATTATATGGAACTCTTTAAAACTGTTCCTGTATATTCATGGCTATTTATTTATTTTCGCAAATAATGAAATTTACGTAATATAGTATAAAACTCATTGAAAAATTTTCAAAACGACATTTGATAAATTCTTCCGATGTATTCGTTAAGGGGTTCACTGTATAAAAGTCGTAACTGAACTTCCATGTTTATTGGGACACCCTGTAGTATTGCAACATAAAGTTTACGATTTAATTTCATTTCTTTAACTTCTGCAGTGTTTAATACTTAAAGTAAAACTAAATATGTTAATTATATGCGCAAAAATACAGAAACCCGGATTGAAAGTCTGTTAAAACCCAGTTTATTGTTTGACACAAGGTTATAATGCAAGGAAACTTATTTCAGAGGTGTACGCATCTTTTGTACTGCAGTGCACTGTCTCTGGGCGGTAATGAAACACAAGACCGATGTCCCAGCCTGACATGGGATCCATATTTCAGATAAAAATCAATGAAATATTCTGGTCTAAGGAAACTATTATGTGAATTATCAAAATTTTCAAAAAATGCTTTTATCCTCCTCGGACACAAAACGAACACTGATGGATCTATTCTTGTTTACAAATTCCGCCCAGAAAGAACTGGTTTCAATGTGTACGCAGAGTATACGCAACTGTAATTAACTTTCCCAGCATTATAACCTTGGTTTGACATATATTAATTTTCCGTCACATCCGTCCATTTTGTGTTCACAATATACAGTGAACACTGTACAGTGTACATGTGTACAATATTATTACTTTGATTTTTAAACTGGTTTTAGTATAAACTTTTTTGTTTATGTAATTAGCTAATATGTAACATAGATTGATCAGTTGGTTCAGTAGCATTCTTGAAGGAACAAAAAGGTTAGCTCGCTTATTTGGTGGTTTTGGTTGTTGTGTGTTAAAGTTTTAGATTTAAGTATGTACTCTAACTTGTTTGTCGCTGTTTAATTTTCTTCCTGTGGTACATTTATTTACTGTAATTTGTCCTACTTTTCCCAATCCCTTTAATCTTAATACTTGGTTTTGACTGTCCAAAATTAACAGAAATGTCAACTTCCGAATTATGATGCTTAATTCTTAATTTAACTGAACTTTTTTGTCTGTACAAAATTTGGTTTATGTGAACAAACTTCTTGAAGTAGAATTTCAGCATTAATTTCTGAATGTTTAAGGAATTAAAATGGTTTAATTTAAAAGAATTCAGCTTTGCCACAAACTCTTAATGTTCTGACTGAAACTTATCTTTTAGACATTTGCTTATCTATGAGACATTTGTCAAACCATCTTATTTCTTCAGGGGCGGATACAGGGGGGGGGGCACATTCCCCCCCCCCTGAATTTGGAATTTTTTGTTCCTATTTTCAGAATAGCTTCTTAATAGCATGCTTAAGGGAAAGAAACCCTATTGCAAAACAGGAAAAAAATCTGTTAAATAAACTAATGTGTGAAAAGTTAAAAATCTAGTTTTTTAGTCTTTAGTCATTAATTTTGACTCTTTTTGAGTCTTTTAGTCAAAAAAAATGTTCGCTTGCGGCGCTATTTTGTTACTAATTATGAATTTTTTTGTTCCTAAAAAATCTTGCCACCCCCCCCTTTAAATCCTGTGTCCGCCCCNGGGGGGGGGGACGCCCCACCTTCCATAGATTTAGACTCTTCCCAGTTTTTACATTGTCCTAAGAACTGAAATGAGAAGTCCCTCTTTTTGAGCAGTTTCCAACTTGATATTATGTCTGTTCAATAACAAAACTTTTAAATTAGGATGTTCCGACTTGATCTGCTCTATGTCTGTATTGCTGTGGTCTGCTCCCAGCATGTTCATGATCGTCAGTTCCTAGGACCACGTTCAAAACCCTCCTCATCACCTCCCTATTCCTCGTCTGCTGATGTACCAAGCACCCCTGAGTATAGACCTCCAAGCGATCAGGAGTATAGGCCTCCAGGCACTCCTGAATACAGGCCTCCAAGCACTCCTGAGTACAGAGTACCAATTGCTCCCGAGTACAGACCTCAGGCAAATGGCTATGAAGACCGTCCTAATGATTACCAACCAAACTATGCATATGGATATGAGCCTGAGCAATGTATCCCTCGAGATGGTCCATCTGATCATGTTCCTAAGGACTATGTGAAGAGGGATGCACAGGACTATGGTCAGCCAATCTATGGTTCCCCTCCACATTATGAAGATGATAATGGTCCCACCAGACCATCGGTTTCTGAGGAGAGTGGTTATATACCCGAGGATATTATTGGGTAAGTAAAATTTTTTGGTTTTATATTGTTCCAATTTCACAAGTATTAAAAAAGGTGTATTATGCTGAATCTGTTTGCATTTAATCGCTACCAATTTTACTTTATCTTTGAAGTGTCTTTTTATGTCTTAAACACTTATTACCAAAGAGTGTTTTAGACGCTTATTTTCCCAAGAGGTATGTTTTATACACTTATTACCCAAGAGTGTTATGTTTTAGACACTTATTACCCAAGAGTGATAGGCATAACCTGAAATTTACTTGTGTTATTCCACTTAACCCTGTTCTTAATCTTGATAAAACCTCTGTATTAATCTGTTATTCATTACAAGCTGGATAGAAATATCTTAGCTAAATGGGCTAATGCTTTTTTCGCGTTGTCAAGTTTTAGAAAAGAGTTTTTTCAGGTTTCGAAGACAGTTTGTATATCTGAGGCAGAAATATCCTGGGACAAACTTGTTGGACTTGACTGAATACTTAGCTGATCCCAACTCGAGGGATGCTCGCATATTTGGTGATTTCTTTTTGCTTAGAGAGATTGTTAACTTATTGCAATATCTAAGAGTGCATGTTCAAAGGCCGCTTCATTAGAAGATTATCTTAATTGCAGGATAACCTACAATTAATAAATCCTAGGTTTATCCTACGTTTTGGATTTATCACTGGATTACGGAAGTACTGTTATAACTGTAATAAATCCATCTTAAATAGTGGCTGGATTATCTATCCTAAATCTACCCTGAGACAGCTGATGCTTTCAATAGTCGTCCTTTAAATTCTATGATTATCTAGCCTTTTTCATTCTTCTGTCTGTTTTGCGCATGCGCATTGGTTTCCACAAATTAATTTGGAAGATAAGACTACCTTTGTTAACTTGAAATATTTTTGTAAAATTTAAAAAATTGTTTATACAAAAAAGAATAGTCTTTTTATTTAAAAATAATATTTTCTAAAATCTTTTTTTTCTTAAATATATTTTTTTAGGGTGGATATATTTTTTCCAAAATTTTTACATTGTTTATCATTTTCTTTTTAGTCATTCTTTCTATCTTGTTTTAATTGGACTATCTTTATCAATCTCTCTCTTATAATCTGAGCCAAACCCAACTAATCGTAGGATTTAGGGTAGGTAATCTAGGGTAAATCCACAAATGCGGGAGAATTACCTTATCCTGCTTTAATGATATCGCGGTATTAGCGTTAGGCCACAATATACACCTCTAATGAAACACTACGGTAGTTAATCTAGCCTTAAATCCACCTGGCGGGATTTATTAATCATATGATTTGGCTTCAATGAAGCGGCCTTAATTGCAAAAATTCGGATGGAAAGAAACGGGCTCTGACAAGTTTTTGGATTTATTTTAATGATCATATTTTCAGGATTACCAGGATTACCACTTAACATCCCTAACACCTTCAATGATGTGTTAACAAGCTTAGGAATCAATGGCTGGCCATTCAACTCCTTTATGAACCCATCTTCCAATCTGTTCATGAATCCTAACAATCAGATCAATGTAAGCTCATTACTTATCTTCCAATCTGTTCATGAATCCTAACAATCAAATCAATGGAAGCTTCTTACTTATCCTCCAATCTGTTCATGAATCCTAACAATCAAATCAACATAGGCTTTTGTTTTTTTCAGTGGAAACGAGAAAATTGTTCAAGAACAGTTCTATGTAAAATTAAAAATAAAAGTTAATTGTATGTATAAAACTTTTAGATCCGAATGGTCTTTCAGCAATTGCCAAAATTGAAGCTGAAATTTTAACTTTTTTGACATAAACTCTAATAAAATGGTTTAACGTAGATTTAACTTGTGTTTATTTAGCTTGGTGGTGCCATCAATGTTCCACAATTGTTCCCTTCCTTCGAAAATGCTTTGCCGAAACAGAATAACCCTAAGGTTCCTGGTGTAGAGACTTGTGGGTAAGCTTTTAACTTCATTTGTTATGGTAAAATATTTCCCTTTTGTGCGTCCAATTTTTAATACTTTTATTGAATATCCATCTGGGTTCTGACCAATAAGAATTCTCTCCTTGGTTTTGCTGAATTTCCAGGCTTCTAATTGGCTGTTTGGTTTGTGCAAATGACATTCTGTTTGAATTTCATACACTTTCCCAGTAGTCAAATTAAGATTAAAATAATCTGCAGATTTGTTAAAATAGAATATTTTTATCTGTTTATCATGGTTTAGTGTGACATAAAAGAGAAGAACATTCAACTTTTCTAGAAATTCTGATGGAGTGTGCATGAATCTTGGTCTATGTTTGACTGAAGGGGGAGAACGAATAGGATCCTGTAGCGAGTGTATAGGGTGTGCTACTTGCTGCAAGGTGAGTGAGTAGGGTGTGCAGGGTGTGCTACTTGCTCCAAGGCGAGTATGTAGGGTGTGCTTCTTGCTCCAAGGTGAGTATGTTGGGTGTGCCACTTGCTCCAAGGTGAGTGCATACTCTATAGGGTGTGCTACTTGCTCCAAGGTGAGTGTGTAGGGTGTGCTACTTGCTCCAAGGTGAGTATGAAGGGTGTGCTACTTGCTGCAAGGTGAGTGTATATTCTATAGGGTTTGCTACTTGCTCCAAGGTTAGTGTGTAGGGTGTGCTTCTTGCTCCAAGGTGATGTATAGGGTGTGCCACTTGCTGCAAGGTAGACCATTATCTTAGATTTGTTTTGGGACAGGAACTTTTAATTGGTGATTAGACTTAAACCGGCAGCAGGTAGTTTAGTGATGTAGCTCAAACTTATTAAATTTGGTCTAAAGCTTTTTTATCACTTAACAAATTTTATCTCTGATCTAAAATATTCACAGCCATTTTAAATTCCACCAAGACTTAATCTTTGGTTAAGATTGATCAGGCTTTAAAGAAAGATTAATATTTTTTTAGTTTGCTTTCTCAGATCAGTCTGCTACTAACAAAACCATCTCTTTCTTTCAATCTCCTGGATTCCCCAACACAAGGTAATTAATAAGGTTTACTAGGTAACTTAATTATTATTTATTAAGATACTCAGTTCTTCAGGTTTAAAGGGTTTGGATCAGATCTGGCACTTACTGTTGGTTTTTGACTTTACACTTACAATTCCCGAACTGTTTATTATATATTTTTCAGGCGTGATTCTTATTCTTCTTCTCTTTCTATTGAAGTGAGAGAAGATGTATCTCAGTTGCTGATAGGTATTTTTAATTTTTATTTATGCTGCACGCACAACCCACGCACCGCTGCCTCTTTAGTGAAAGTTAATTTAACCTATATGAAGCATAACTTCTGACCGCATTAACCTTGTTGCACTGGCTATTTATGTCCATAGAGTTAGGTACAGTACAAACTTGGACCGGAAAGGTTGACCCGGTTCGGAAATTAAAATGTACTAAGGCTGCCTGTGAACCAGCGTACATAAAATAACAGGCTGGCCCATCTTTGCTGTTTTAATGGACTGTACAATTTTGAAGCGACAGGATTGTGCGGTTAACAATACAATTATTAAAGCAGCAGACCTTTGCGATTAACTATGGGTGTCATGGGGCATTTTTGCTGAACAAAGCTCAGATCCAATGGTTCTGAAGTTCAGTAATATGTTAAAAAACTTTTAGAAAGAATATTGTGGCGTTTTTGGGATTTAATAACAAATTTAAGCGGGAAAAAAAGCTTTTTGCATGAAAACCATTGTGCGTCTAAATCGACCACCTTAATTTTATGTTACTGAATGTTTCATTATGTTAGTTTTTTTGGCATATCTTGTTATTTTAAAAAGGATATGACAGATTTAATAGGTTCAGCCTTATAACACATTTGTTAGCCTTAAAACACATTTGAAATTAATCTAAATTGTTTTTAGAGTTTGTGTATTTTGAAATGCCAATTGGACAGGATGGCTGTGGTGAGGATGATTATTTGGAGATTATCTCTCCCCAAAGTCCCGGAGGACTACTAGGTCCAGGAAATTCTAAATTCTGTGGACTTAATACTGATCAACATATCTACATTGATGTACGGTAGGAAATTGTTTTCTTTAGGAAGGAATGATGTTTTATTTTATGCAGTGCCGGAGATTGTAAAATTTAGAAATTTCCTTGGAATATTAAAAAGGATATTTCAACCATATTAAAAACGATATTTCAATCATATTAAAAAGGATATTTCAACCATATTAACAAGGATATTTCAACCTGTGTTAAAGAAAAAGATGTTCAGCTTAATGGGCTGTAAAAATTAGACCAAGTAAATTAAGGTCTCAATGGATCATGTGAATTGTAACTCTCTGTGTAATATATTTCATTTTTTGAGGTTTAGAATTTATATCTATTTTATTTTTTAGTCCTGGAGATCTTGTGATAATGAAAGTTGTCACCTCCGGAGTAGGTTTTGTTCCTCTAGCAAACAGTCCTGGAACAGATAGAGACGATCCCAGGATACATACTCAAACTCTTTTCAACTCAGGAGATGCATCATACAGGTTAGTTTAATACATATCACGGCCTCATGATGCATAATACAGAACTCAGGAGATGCATCAAAGGCCCTAGGGATTTATTACACAACTCTGGAGATGTATTGTACAGGTTATTCTGATAGAAATAGTAATCTTGGATCTGCAAACCTTACTGCTTTTCATGTTTAATATTAAGATCACTCAGACAGTTGTAATAGAGATAGTAATCTTGGAAACTTATACGTTTCTGCCTTTCAGGTTTAATGTCAAGATCACTCAGATCTTGGAACAGTGTTCTAATAGAGATATATACTTAAATACTTCTAACCTTCTTGCTGTTCAGGTTTTAATATCAAGATCACTCAGATCTCTAACAGTTTCCTTATAGAGTTGTATACCTAGCTACTTTTAACCTTTTTCCTGTTTTAATGTTAAGATCATAGAAATTCTAATACGGTGCTTTTAGTAAGCCTAGATACTTTAAACTGTCCTTTTAGTAATCCCAGTTACTTCAAACTGTATTTAGAAATCCTAGATACCTCAAACTGTGCTTTTAGTAATCCTAGATAACTGTGCTTTTTAGGTTTAGTGTAAAGGTCACTCAGATCTTGACCAGTGTTCCCATCGAGACAGCATTCCTTGATACTTCTAACCTACAACTTGATGCAAACCTTGCAGCAATTTACCTAAGCCGACAAGGTCATAAAACCTTTTTAATCTCAATTTTTTATTGTATCCTTTATAAATTAGTTTGAATGTCTCCTCTGCATAATGCATTATTAGATATGGCTGTTGAGTTTTTATGGCAGAAACTCTTTTCTCGGTCTAGTTACTCTGAAAAGATTAATTAAATGAGTGTTTGATTATGTATCTGTAATCTGTCTATAGGTGATATCCCTGACTACTACAAGAGTGTTTAATTATGTATCTGTATATAGGTGATATCCCTGACTACTACAAGAGTGTTTAATTATTTATCTGTTTATAGGTGATATCCCTGACTACTATAAGAGGATCTTGGCTCCTAGTGGGTGTAGACAATACTACATGGATGGGAAAGGAACAATCCAAAGTTTTAACTTTGACGGCAGTGCCCCATTCCCTAACAATTTAGATTATACTATCTGCATCAGGTATGAGCTATGAATTGGTTTAATCCTGTTACAAGACGAAAGGGAATTTGGTATTGCAACTTAAAGAATTCACAAATCTTTGATTCACATTACCATATTTAAGTTGGGGTTGTTTGTCATATTTAAGGTGGGTTTGATTTAAAATGAACATGATATAGAAGTTTTTGGTTTAGAAACTTTTTTTTTTAATTGGTTTCTCTGAAAAGTGTCTTGTGTACACAGATATTGAGGTCAACCCTAAGAAAGTGTGTTCCACAAATGGCGTTTTCAAAAAATGCATGGCTTCGTGTAAAAATCTAATCTGACAAAAAAGCTCCCCCCTCCCACCTAGGATTTAAAAATATCTTTTAGCTCCTGTTTTAAGTCTGACCTGTCTTTTTTTCCATAAGTAAATGTTATTCTGTTTCTGAATACTTCGCCTCAATGTAGCATTTTGTATGGACCCAACGTTTTGTTTTTGTTAATAGCTGCCATGTTCAGGCCCTTTGGTTAGGCCCTACACAGTTCCTAGTTCTGTTAATATCTAAACAAGAATTAAAAGAATATTTTCAGGAATCCTCCGAATGCCTGTGGAATAACCCTCTCCTCGGTGAAGTTTGATATTCCTACATCTTCTCATGAATGTGCAAATGGAGCTAATGCTATATATGGAGATGCAGCTTGTTGTACAGCAGGTATACACCCTTTCTTACATTCCATCCAAATTAACCCCTTAACAGGCTAAGGGGGGGGGGGCCCTGAAGTTTTTGCCCTAACACTCATTATTGACACATTATTGAAATTTTATTACTTAAAATCAATGGAAATGTAAAGAATTTTGGTACAGAATATGTTTTAAATTGGGTAGTGTACAGGGCGGTTAAAAGTCAGTTAGGTAAAAAAATAGCCCATAACCTTTTCATAACGAAAGCTACAAATCTATATTTTTGAAAAGCCCTTGAAAAATGGATTAAAAATATGTGTCACACTTTTACATTTGTAATAATTAAAGCAATATTTTTAATTTTTTTTCTTAAGGCATTTTTCCCTTTAACTACAAAAAAAAATTCTCAACAGACTGGGCTTTAAGATTTGGCATGTATTTATAGCTGCGAGAGCAAACTGACAGTTTAATAAGGCTAAAGGGGCATTACACCAAATTAATCAGTGTTGCAACAATTCTTAACAAAATTGTTTGCTTATAATTTTCGCCGATTTGGCACAAACTCTTGTCTTCTTACTCGAATCTTTTAGGTTTTGCAAGATATTTTAAAATCTCAATATTTTTAGATCCTAGTCAAAACCATGGAGTTGTTAAATACATTGGATTGGATGGTACCTCAGATGGAACCATTTCTGGAACCAAATACAAGAATAATCAAGCAAGGTTAGACTTTTTTAGCTTTTCTGGTTTCAGCAGAGTTGGTGAATAAAATTATTTAAATTAAATGTTTAGATTTTTCTTCTGTGGAGATAGACTGGGGAAAACTAACATGGTAGTGTCCAATAGAAAGGGTCCAGCAACCATCAAGGTATCATTTTTAATGTATTTAATGGTTTCAAAGCTACTGTTTTTAGATTTTATATTAGAAGTAATTTGGGCTGGGTTTTGGAAGCTTGGCATGGGGCCTTAAAACTTGGCATTTGCCTTTGGAAACTTGGTGTGGGACTTAGAAGCCTTGCCATGGGCCTAGGAATGTTAGTATGGGTCTATGGAAACTTGGCTTGGGCCTTTGGAAGCTTGCCATTGGCCTTTGAAAACTTGCCATGTGCCTTTGGAAACTTGCCATGTGCCTTTGAAAACTTGGCAATTTGGCTTTGGAACTTGGGCTTTAACATGATTTATTACTGAATGTCCGAAATAATTTATTTTTTTACAAGAAGCTAATTTGAATATTTTTAGGTGTTTTCTGATGGAAACAATGTTTGCAGAAACCCCGGTTTAGGTTTCCGTATCAAATATGAGATTAACACTGGTACTTGCTAAACCCCTTAGATGTGATATCGTCATATGTATTAGATACAATTCTAGTTTTTAAATAAAGATTTATCATAATTTTGTTACATTACATGAGTGAAAGAATCTTTAAGTTGCTGTGCTCTCCATAGAAGGTATCAAAATTGAGGCTAATTATTAATAGTTTTCGTCAATTGAAGGTTATTATAAATTTGACATTCTCTGATTTTATCGTTATTTATCTTGAAACTGAAGATACAAAATGGATTTTTTCCGTAAATATTGCGTTTCCATCACGTCCACCGAATGTGCCACGTTTCTATCAAGAGTGATCTAAGCAATTGTTCAAATTTCATTCTTTCTAAAATAAACAAGTCTCAGAAATTATGGTTAGAGGAAGGGAATCCTCTGACGTCATGAGTCTTCACTATGCCGTATTGAGCATGCGAAATACATTAATGTGCATGTAAAATACAGGGTTATTAAAAAAATTATACAAGTTTATAAGATGTATTTACAACAGAAATTTCTCAAAGAGTCTAATTATGGTATAAAACGTATTTTTAATGAAAGGAAAATATGTAGAGAATAAATTTAACAGACTAAAATACGTAGTGAAGCATATTATTTTAAATTTAAACTGTTTGTACAATGTGAACATACAGTTTACTACAGTAAACCAGAAAACAGAGTAATAGAAAGATGACTTTATAACAATACTTTGTGACAAGTATTTGATGTTACAAAGCAATATAGCTTTCCTGAACATTTACTAAATCACTAATGTAGTGGAGTGGAGATGTTTATACTGCACAACTAATGTCTCAGGCTCATTAGAATTAAGGTTTAAACTTTAGTCTAAAAGTCGTCTTCCTACTTTTCTGTGTATTACTGTATATTTTAAACTTTACACTCCTAGGTCTAAACTGTAAACTTTACGCTGTATACACTGTACACTGTAGACTGTACATTAAACGCTGAAATCTGTTCACTGTACATAAGCATTTGTAGAGGAGTCGTTGGCTGGAGGATAGTTGGGCCTAAGAAAAATTAGCGTCACTTTTTTTTGAAAAACAACTTTTCTTCGTAATTTACTTGAAAAGTATTTATGGGCATTTCCTTTCCTTTAATAATATTCTATTAACATACAAATCTTAGAATTGTTCAGGGCACATAATCCGAATCATAACGGTTTTACTGCTTACACAATACACAACCATTACCGCTATACGTTTTTTGATTACAAAACTTTAAAAACAACTGGCAAAGGAACACATCATGTGTAGTAAAATTGCTGTGCACAAAATCAAAATCCCAATTGTTGTTATATAAATATTTACATTGAAACATACATGTGTTAAAAAGTCGTCTTTAGGATTCCCGCCTTTTAATGATATTACAATTGTGAACATCCAATAAAAAATATTCTAATAAAGTTTATATTTGTAGATTGTTTACAATGATAAACAGAAAACTCTGAAATATGAATATGACTTATCGACTTTACTAGTAAGACATTGTGACAGCGTAGCTCCTTTAGTTAATTCATACAGGAGCAATAAGCGGTAAACTGATGACGTCAATAATTGGACCAATAGGAAGCCTACCTGATGTACTAGCATTGAGTACTGGCCAGTACCCTAGAAACCTTTACTCTGATTCTCTGCCACAACCTCTAATTTACCAGGGTTTAGGGCGAGCCAGGTCATACCATGACTCATACCATATATATTAATAATGATAGATAGATAGATAGATAGTTATACCTAGGGTTTCCATTTTTCCGGAAAAAAATTTCCATTTTGGAAATGAAATGATCCGGAAACCGTAAAATTTCCAGTTTCCATTTCGTAAACCGGAAAAATTTCCGGTTTCCATTCCGTAAACCGGAAATTTTTACGGTTTACGTAACGTAAACCGGAAAATTTCCGGTTTACGTCACTTAAACCGGAAAAATTTCCGTTTACGGAATGGAAATCGTAAAATTCCCAGTTTCCATTTCGTAAACTGGAACTTAAAGAATTTTTCTTATTTTAATTAAATTCATATTTACAAAGTTTGAAAATTTGAAGAAAAATACATATGTAAGACTTTAATGTAATTCTGGTACCAAATGTTCCGGAAACCGGTAATTTCCGGAAAATTTCCGGAACGTCCGGAATTCCGTAACGATCTGTAATTCCGGAACAATGTTCCGGAAATTTCCGTTTTACGGGAAAAAATCGTTCCGGAAATCGTTCCGGAATTCCGGTTTTTCGGAACCTTTTCCATAATGGAAATGGAAAAAATTTCCGAATCATTTCCGTACGTAAACCGTAACCCGGAATTCCGGTGGAAACCCTAGTTATACCATGACTCATTTTATATATATTACTAAATCAATAGATAGATAGAGCAGGCTGGGCCACCAGGGCGATTCGGGTCTACCATGGGTTGCCAGGTCAACCAGTGGTCAATGACCCCCAGGAGGGCCATGTCCTCCCCACCCCCTGAATGCCGTCGTCAATCATTTCAATAGTTGTCTTTGTAGTTTACACCCAATACTCGATTCCTATTGGTCGAGAGCTTTTCCCGTCAATTTTAATGAACTGGTCCTAAATATAATGCTGCCTTCCTATTGGTTGAATTCAGTCACGAGACCTATGACATCATCGGTTTAACTTGTCAATAAATGCTGACAATATCATTACTGAGATGAGATCGTGCCAAGTGGTTTGGCAGTGATAGATTACTAGCTTGTGTCTGGAGTGACATTCGGAGTTGACAAGATCGTGCCTAGTGGTTTGGCATTGATAGATTACTAGCTTGTGTCTGGATTGACATTCGTAGCTGACAAGATTGTGCCAAGTGGTTTGGCATTGATAGATTACTAGCTTGTGTCATTGACAATATCACTACTGTTGAGATTGTGCCCAGTGATTGGAATTGATAGATTACTAGCTTCTGTCCGTATTGACATTCAGAGATGACAAGATTGTGCCCAGTGGTTAGGCATTGATAGATTTCTAGCTTGTGTCATTGACATTCAGTGCTGACAAGATTGTGCCAAGTGCTTTGGCATTGATAGATTACTAGCTTCTGTCTGTATTGGCATTCATAGCCAAATAATAGGTTTATTTTCTCTAGCTGAATAGTTCCAGGACTATAGATGATTAGTTCCATGACAAGCTAATTAGTTCCTTGACTAGCTGATTCGTTTCTGGACTGGCTGATTAGCTCTAGGATCAACTGATAAGCTCTAGGATTAGCTGATAAGTTCCAGGACTAGCTGATTAGTTCCAGGACTAGGTGATTAGTTCCCGGACTAGCTGATTAGATCCCGGACAAGCTAATTAGTTCCTGGACTAGCTGATTAGTTTCTGGACTGGCTGATTAGCTCTAGGACCAACTGATAAACTCTAGGACTAGCTGATTAATTCCAGGACTAGCTGATTAGATCCCGGACAAGCTAATTAGTTCCTGGACTAGCTGATTCGTTTCTGGACTGGCTGATTAGCTCTAGGACTAACTGATAAGCTCTAGGACTAGCTGATTAGTTCCAGGACTAGCTGATTAGTTCCAGGACTACCTGATTAGTTCCAGGACTAGCTGATAAGCTTAGTTTTCAGTTAGTTTAACTCACAGTGATACATGGATATATTTATAAACATATATTAAATATGGTTGCATGCTTGCTGACGAGTAACGCAAGAGCTGAAAATGAAAAATATAATTGCATAATAAATAGAGCACAAGTGCTGAAACAGAAAATACATCATTAATTTACAATGACGACTATTATTCTCGATTCTTTTAAGAGTTTTAATATTTCAAAAGTGAAAAAGAAACTTTAAGATATATTAGGGTTTCAAATCGGAATTCCGTTGCGCGGAATAGCGCGCAACAGTTCTCGTATTACGCGGAATTGTGCGGAATTGTGGGTAAATTACAGGAACCGCAATTGCGCGCAAGTAAAATACACTCGCGGTGGAAACCCCAAGAGATATGAATCAGATTTGAATACTACGTCGAGTTTAAAGAGTCGGTTTGGCTAAACCTCTCAAATCAATTAGACTTTTTTTCTAGATTGCAATGTTTAAATTCAAAAAGAAGTAATTGGAAATATTTTTGCTCAATTTTTTTCGTGAAAATTTGTATGTCTTAAATCACAGTGTGTAACAAACTCTAATTTTCGAATCTCCATTCCTTTGCGATCCGATGTCACAGACCTTAGATATTTCAAACTATGATATGTGTTACATCAAAAAGATTAATCGTGAAATATCAAAGGTTTAACATACAAATTCAGAAAGTTGCAATTAATGACTCGGAGCGTAAAAAAATTAATTTAATTTCAAACAAATCATTCAGATAATACTTAAATTACTTCGCAAATACTAAAGCTAAAATTTAGTTTTAAAGGGGTTGTTCGCGAGAACTGAAATGGGGTATAGGATTACGGCGAAAAATAAGCGCTTTTGTTCTCTACTAATATTACTTCTATCTGTTGCGTCTATAAGGAGAAAATTGTTTAAAACGACCCATTCTGAAGAATGTAGCGTCAATACAAATACAAAAAAATGGAACATTCAACTCGGATCGTAAAAAATAAATTTTATTCCAATCAAATCATTCAGATATTAAAAACAATAGTCATCGATTATTTTTGACGCATTCTTAAATAGTTAATATTTCATAATAATTTTGATTTCGTTTTTTAAAATAATATTTCGCCGGTGCTGGATTTTCGAACATTCCTGGAAAATATGAAAATGTCGTCATCATTATCAAAAATCCTCAAAACAGGAATAAATGTTTTTAAAAGTGACCATCATATCATAAAGATATTATGAAATATCAATTATATACGAATGTGTCGAAAAATTATCGATGATTATTGTTTGTAATATCTAAATGTTTTGTTTGGAAATAAATTTTTTGTTTACGATCCGAGTTGAATGTTGCAGCTTTCTGAATTTGTATGGACGCTACATTCTTCAGCATGAGTCGTTCTTAACAATTTTCTCATTATAGACGCAACAGATAGAAGAAAGATCACTAGCGATCAAAAGCGCTTATTTTACGCCGTAATCCTATACCCCTTTCAGTTTTCGCGAACACTCCTATTAAAATGTAAATACATAAGAAAATTGCGCACAATTAAAGGACAAAACTTTGTGACACTTTAAGGTATTCCAAGTTAACTTTTCATACCAGTTTTCACACCAGATATCCAATATTATCTAGGGAGACAATTCTAACATTTTAAAATTTTTTTGTTAAAATGTGTTTGAATCTCAAATATTTTTAACACGGTCTGCTTATTTTAGCGAAATTTGTCTTCGCTTTTTTATCAGAGTTTTCGGATAAAATCAACATTTGTTGCTCTTGTAATATCAACAATAATGTATAGAAAAAAAAGAATTAATTTTTTAAAAGAAAAAATTATTTTCTTTTTTTTGATTTTTCAAAATTAATGTAGCTTTCAGTTTTTAGCAGAAAAAAACGAATGGTTGAAACAATAAACAGAAGACACTGTACAGACCAATTTCACTTTAAAAGCAATTTTTCAGTAACTTGTCATAAAGTTTACTGACAGTGACAATACCAAAACAGTAATAGATTGGTTTTTAATCGTCTTCAATTCTAACATGTTTTTTAAATTCTCATTCTGAAGAAATAGCGTTTTAAATATGTCTTGCAAAAGATAATTATATATTAGGCAACAAGTGATTAACAAAATCTGAAATAAACACATCTGTGTATTTATTTCCTGACAGATTAACTTTCGTTGAAATATCTTCAGTTAAAACCTAAATCTTGTATTGAGAAGTCTAATAGTTAGGATGCTCTTCCTAATTATTTTCTCATTGATACAGGTTTTTAACATTTCAAATCTCTTACAATTCCCTGAACCACTCAAACAAAAGCAAACATCTTTTAAATGGACCGTAATCATAATTTTAATTGACCCTCCATGCAAAGATGACGATGCAGATTTACAACGGTACCCTTGAAACCTTACTCAGATCAATAATTTTATAGGTTTAAAATTGTGCATTTATAATAATTCCTGTAGGTTTTCCTGCAGTAGAAATGCGCAAGTTACTTCTGTAAAGAACCCAAAATTGTTAATAATCAGTTTTCACAATTATATAAAATGATATTTAATTCAAACTTGACCAACAGTTTTTAATTAAAGGTTTCATTGTAAATCGGGCATTGCCTTCTTTGCATCTAGGGTCACTTGAAATTACGCTTACAGTCCCTTTAATCCAATATTATTATTAATGCCTAATATTTTTTTCTATTTAGTTGATAGGAGGACAAGTTGAAGAGCTTGATGTTGAAGATGAAATACTTGTTGTCAATCCAGAGATTAAAGAAACAGCTATACATAATACTTCCGGTAGTTTCATATTTTTACAAAAAAAATGAATAAATGATAGACTGAAAAAAAACTTCCCAAAAGTCAAAATCCTAAAATACAAAGTCTTAAGAGATCACCTCTTATTAGACTCCTGAAAGACAAACTCCTGAAAGACAAACCCCTAAAAGACAAATTCCTGAAAGACAAACTCCTGAAAGACAAACTCCTGAGAGACAAACTCCTGAAAGACAAACTCCTAAAAGACAAACTCCTGAAAGACAAACTCCTGAAAGACAAACTCCTGAAAGACAAACTCCTGAAAGACAAACTCCTGAAGGACAAACTCCTGAAAGACAAACACCCGAAAGAAAAACTCTGAAAAGACAAACTTCAAAGAGACACACTGATTAATGACAAACTTCTTAAAACTCCTGAAAGACAGGCTTTAAAAAAAGAAGTTTTTAAAGAAAACAAAACTTTTCCAGAGATAGATAAGAATATTTTAATACTCCTGTAATGAAACTGGATTTAACAGGATTTATCTGGGGTCCTCCACTTTCACGTGGAGAAAGGAGTCAATCAAGAAGTCTGATTGGTGCTAATGTAACAGGAGAAGATTTAGAGCTTATGAAGCTAGGTCTTGAAAGTGAAAGACATGCTATTGGAAGAAGTATTCAGAGGGATTTAAAGTACCGTTGGCCAAATAGTAAAGTTCCTTACAGGATTGAAGCGGCTATAGATCAAGAAAAACGTACCATTATTGCATCGGTAATGTTAGTTTTATTTCTAAGGAATTATGTTATCTCCATTTTTAACCAATTCACTTTTTTTATAAGCATCAGCAACATTAGAGTAAACTGAAAGAAACAATTGTATAATATGAAGCCAATTAAAATTACTTTGAAAATCTTAAATTTTTAATGTTAAATTTTACAAAAACGATCCCCATTTTGCATTAGTCTCATTTTCAATATTTTTCCGCTAAAAAAAAAAACTTAATCTTGGTAATCTATATATAGAAAGTTGCAATCTCTGTTTGTTTGTTTGTATATGTGTCTGTCCGATCATAACTCAGGCACCCCTGGACCGATTTGCATCAAATTTGGATTCGGGAACTTTCGACTTTCATAACTAAAATTCAGGTTTCGGTAAGACCGTTCAAGTGCGGGTAAAAAGCGGAAGTAACTTTTAATAACCTTGGTTATAGCGGTGGGTTTCCTAGCTAGTAATTAACAAAAGTTATTATTTTCAGGGTATACAAAACATAGAAGATAACACTTGTATTCGGTTTGTTGAAAAAACTGATACAGATTTAGATTGGGTTGATATTTTCACAACCGGTGCTAGTGGGTGTTTTGCTAATGCTAGGTAAGAACATAACCCTTAAATAGGCTGGTGGGGGGGGGTTTTGGCGCCCCCCCTTGTAGTTTAAAATTTTGTGACTTTTGATGAATAGAAATTTCAAGGATTGCGACTAACGGTACAGATATAAAAACTATATTTTTGAAAAGCCCTTGAAAAATGAATGTAGAAACATGTGTCACACTTTGATATTTGTTTAACCCTATTTACCCTGGCGATAACTTAAAAAGTGAGCTCAAATTTTCTGACTTTTCTAATTAACACATGCCCATTACTTAAGGCTAAAGCTGGGCTTTTATACCTACTGCCTGAGTCCTCAGGCATACTGCAACAAGATTGAATTTTTGCAAAGAAATTTAAATGGAATTTGAACATTTTCAGTTTTTCATAAAAAAAATTAAGTTTTAAAAATTTTGCTAATGTTTTGGCATATTTAAATTTGCTGGGTCAAGGGCTTTTTAAAAATGTACAAATTGTTGCACTTTGAGCAATTTTTTTGCACATTTTTTGCTTAATAACTGGACTTCGCAATAAATATATGGATTTTTGCAAATCTGCCATTTTTTCAGATTATTGAAGTATTGCCAAAGGGCTTTCCAAAATCGTATTAAATGTTATATATTTGTATCACATAAAGAAAATAAAGGGGGGGGGGGTCAGATAGACGTCTTGATAAATAGGCTCAAAAACCCCCACAAAAAAAATAATTTTTATGACCCTCTTTTGCATTCAACCCTCTCTATCAAACCATTAGAACTCGCTATGAGCATGCAATTTAACCCTGTACTTTTTCGGGGGGGGGGGGCGTGTAACGCCCTTACCCACCAGGTTATACATAGATTCAAACCCCTCAGCATTTATAGGGTTAAAATAAACAATTATATAAAATTGATTACATTAATTCAATGTATACAGATATCATCAGTGTAAAAAGAATAAATTCTCATTTTTTCTAGAAATCTTCCAAAAAAGCCAAACTTATATAACTGAATAAAAATAACATTTTTTTTATAACCCAGATAATATTCATAAGTTGATTCAGTCTATTTATATGAAAACTTAAACAGTATTATAGTTCCAACAAAAAATATGACAAGTTTCTAGGATAAGTTAGATCTGAATTATGCTCAAACAAGACTTATATTCTAGATACCTTGGACCTGGTTTTGGATCCCACCAGGTTGGGCTTGCATTCTCTGCTACTAGGGATGACTAAAATTATTTAAATATTTTAAAACTTGGCTAGTTTAAAACTTGATGGTATAAGTTATATTTAAATATAATTAAGTATTCAAAATTAAAAATAATCTTTGTTTTCATAATTACGTAAGAGTACATTTTGTTTATTATCCTCTTTATACAAAATACTTTTTTCTTAAAATTTTAATCATGCAATTTCAGTACATGCTTTACTAAGGTAAGTAAAATATTTTATAATTATAAATTTTATCAAATTTATTTTATGATCAGAAATGCGTCACTGGCGTTCAGTGTAAAAGTTTTATGTCTTACTCAACTTAAAAACAGATTTTTATGATTAATAGATAACTTCCCTGGAACAATAACAAAGAAATTGCGTCGTTGCTTTGAGCTTAACTCTTCTTCTTCCTATATCTTTACACCTGATTGCGCAAACCATTGATATTTCAAAAGACTCAATTTCTTTCTCTAAATTTCTTGTCTTCAATGTTAAATTTTCAGAATTCTTGAGAGTCAAAACTATTTTTGGGAAACTTCTTAAAATTCTGAGTTAACATGAAAAAATTAACCTAAAAAGCAAAATATATATAGAAATATTTTAAAATCTTCAGGGTATAGTTGTTCATGAACTGCTGCATATACTGGGAGTTGCTCATGAACAACAAAGACCGGATCGAGATGATTTTATCACAATAGACTGGACAAATTTGCAGGTAGTTGTTGGGAAAAGATTAATAGTTTTTTTTATTTCTTAAACATTTTAGGATTGTGATTGCACAGACACAATGCACTCTTTTATATTTTCAGAATGTGATTGCACAGACACAATCCACTCTTTTATATTTTCAGATTGTGATTGCACAGACACAATCCACTCTTTTATATTTTCAGATTGTGATTGCACAGACACAATCCACTCTTTTATATTTTCAGATTGTGATTGCACAGACACAATCCACTCTTTTATATTTTCAGAATGTGATTGCACAGACACAATACACTCTTTTATATTTTCAGATTGTGATTGCACAGACACAATGCACTCTTTTATATTTTCTTTTCACTAAAAGACAATTTCTTAAAGTAGATATGTTTCCATTAAGATATATTTCTCAAGGTTAATATCTCCAATAAAATATAATAAAAGTATATTTCTCAAGGTGGATATACCAAATATCTTAAGGTGGATATACCATATTTCTTAAGGTGGATATATCATATTTCTTAAGGTGGATATGTCTTACAACATGTGGAAGGACTCCTGGGATACAGAAGACCTAGCAACTTTAACAAAGTAGGCTCTTCAGAATTACAGCTCTTGATGTTTTAAGTTAACTTTAAAACCAAATAGGGCCTTGAAAATAGTCTCTTAGAAAATTAACATATTAACAATATATATTGGAATTAATATCCTTGTCATGTTCAAAGGTTTTGTTTTTGATATGGAATGTGATCCAAAAAAATTAATCTTTCAACGTGAGCCCATTTCTAACACTTAGTATTAGAAATAACTGAATTAAAACTATTTTTTCTTTAAGATGTACATTGACTGGTGCAACACAAGCTACTGCAGACTTTACTAACTGTGTTAGTGGTGACACAGTAACTGCTATGGGTCTTGGATATGACTTCAAGTCTGTTATGCACTATAGACTCAGAAGGTTAAACAATTTGTACTGCTGATACTATTGTACAGGGCTCAATATTTATTGTCTGGTATGCACTATACACTCAGAAGGTTAAACAATTTGTACTGCTGATACTATTGTAAAGGTTTCAATATTTATTGTCTGGTATGCACTATACACTCAGAAGGTTTAACAATTTGTACTGCTGATACTATTGTACAGGGCTCAATATTTATTGTCTGGTATGGGCCTCAATGTTTATCACTGCTTAATTTAATCCTGAACCTGGGTTTGGGGAACTGATACTAAATTGTTCTTGTGAATTGAATTCTCATTTTCTTTAGTTTTGCAGTCGACTCTTCAAAACCTGTAATGACACCTAAAGATGCAAGTATAACTGATGCTAATGTGGGAAACACTGAACTCTCTCCAATGGATATTACTAAACTACAAAGAAGTTATTACTGTACTGGAACCACCCAGGTTATCAGTATACCAATACCTGTGCCTATGCTTCTTTGAAATTTATCATGAATGATTTTGAAGTCCAAAAGAATTAGTTAATTTGTAATTAAACTTTACCATTCTAATTCCCTTTTCTAAAACTTTTTTATTTAGAAAATATTAAACAGTGTGTGCCTAATTGAATGTAGGTTGTAGATATTTATTTAGAATCGACATGTCTGAGTTTAAATATAAATTAAGTTTCTCATTTTGATAAAAAATCATCTCGTAGATGTATATATATTAAATGGTATTATAGAGTTCTTGTGGAGGTTCTTACTATTCAACAACTGGTGGAACAGTCTCAGGAGAAACCCTTACAGGTGAGATCACTCATTTCTCTTTCATAGATATACAGGGCGTCCCACGAAACATGACAGTTGTTGAATAGTTTTGAATATCTTCTTCCATAATCTATATTAGATATTAAAGACTTATCGTAGATTATTTTGTAAAAAAATCTGTTACTTAAATAAATTGAAATTATTATTTTACTTTAAGATGACTCCCATACAATATTTTTATTATTCTCGTATTAAACAACTGAACAAATTATGGAAGAAGACATTTTAAACCATTTACCAGCTGTCATGTTTCATGGGAGACCCTAAATCAAGGTCTCTAACTGCCGATAATTTAAATCTGAAATTTCAGGAACATCTGAATGTGAGTTTATCTTTTCAACTGAAGTTGGCAAAGGAATTAAACTAGCTGTATCAGCTACGGTAACTATTTTCTTAAATATTTAGTATTGTTAATGTTGTCTCAAACTCAGAGTAAGTATGGATGTTAACAGACCTACTTATGTACATTGGATTTCGACTTTTGATAGCTCTTGGGAAAGCCTTGAATAAAAAGAAATATATTGTACAATTTTTGCGAAGAATTTTGCATACATTTTTGCACAGAAACCTTCAAAGAGAATCTGCACATTTTCAGTTTTCCTTGAATACAAACTTAGTTTTTAAAAATTTTGCAAATATTTTTGCAAATTTGAATAAGCCATGGTAAAGGCTTTTCAAAAATGAATCAAATGATATAGATTTGTATCAAAATAAGGAAATAGACTTCAGCCTTAAGAGGGTTAAAGTAGAGCATAAGAGCTTTTCAATTATGTATCATTTGTCATATTTGGATATCAAACATGGAATTTAGAAGGAGGGTATCCTGGTTTTTAAGTACCCCAGCAGGGATAGGGTTAAAGTATCTTAACTTAAAGGCCCCTCTTTTCTTATATAATTTGAAATGTTAAAAGTTTATTATTCTTTATTACTAAGTTTGCTGGATCCTGTAGCACTGACTACCTAGAGATTAGAATAGGAACAATGACTGGAGCTCTCATTGGTAAATACTGCCAGGTAGTGATTACATTGTCTTTAAACTTGTTGGTTTGGTTATCTATTTGAATACATACATGATGCAACATTAGTTGACCAGAATGGTTGATTTCTTCTGAGAAAATGATAATATTTTTCTTTTCATTAATATTTGTTGGCAAGTAAATATTGTACCCAGTTCTATTGTTGCAATGTAGCTTTCTATATAAACCAAACATTCAAAGCAGTTTAATTTTTTACACATTTTCTTGCTTTGTGATTAGCTAAAAGTAAACTGTAACAGGAACCAAAGGTTCAAATGTTATTTTTTGATAAAGTTGACGTGTGTAAAAGTACTGCAGTTAAAGGGAAAATAAATACCCCTTTTTTAGTTAATGTCCCGTTATAATCTAGACAAACATTCTATTTGAATATATCGAATAATGCCAAGCTAACTTTCTGATGCCGCATCCGACGCCTAGGGAAAGCTTGGTTCATCGACCTAAACATGGAGATAAGGGAGAGCCGGGTTAGGATTTTCTGGTGAGAGAGGTTCAAGAAGTATTTTGTCTCCGAGATGTATATTTCATCATATTTATACCATTTTCACATTATTAATGAAGTATTGTTTCATGTTTATTGTGTTATAACTCGAGCGTCGTGAAGGAAATTAAAGTCATGGGATATTTAATTTAGTTTTTCATTCAAATCTCAATGCATATAATCCATCATAGGGCAATCCTATTCCAGCTGAATTGTTTCTAAAAACAAACAAAGTATGGATGAGATGGGTTAAAACAACTTCAACCTTGACTGGAACTTGGACTGTGGACACAAGTAATTAAGTTTATTCTAGTTTATTAAGATAAGAACCAAACATATATGATCCCTAAGCCCGTGATTTAAAAGCTTCGGCTCGAGTCGTAATTCCTTAAACCCGACTTTAAGACCCAATCTTAGACCCAACTCTAACGACAGCTTGTGTCACGTGATTGACAGCTGCAAGATCTTCAGCACGACTTAAGGAGTTAGGCCCAATGAAATTAAAACCGACCTTGATTGGTTTTAGTGGAGAATAAGACTCAATGTTGCGCCTTGTTCTCATAAAAACTGGGAATTCGCCAATTCCTACCATGAAAATCCGCTAAATAGAATATTAAACCGGTTTTTTGAATTCAACTCTGTGGAAAATTAGATGCAGCTTTCATCCGAAAGCTCAAGCCGTAAATAAGGTCCAACGACAGCTTAGACTTGAGTCATAATTCCCCGAATTTTTTAAATCGCGGGCTCTGGTGTCTTTAAATACATATCATTGTTCTTCTCAATATCAAATATGTTTATTTCAAGATAATTCAATTTGTAATTAAACTAACTTTTGAAATAAAACCCACATATTGTTAAATATCCAAATGTTTTAGTTACCTGTTCCTGTGACAAAATAAAAATGGACAACTTAGAATGTAGTTCATGCAGCATATTTTATGATAAGTCAGTAACATTAGTCGGTGGGAAACCTTCTTATCAAAATGGAGAAAGATATGTATTTTGGAATAGCAATCGCAACAAGTGGATGATTTCAACTTCAACAAATACAGACAGTGCTTTTACAACTAATGAGGTAAAGAGTAAATAAAACTAAAGTTTAAAATTTAACTGTATCTACTTTAGTTGGCATACTACTGTCCAGAGGATCTGTCCTCAGGATGGACACAAATTGTTGATGGCAAATTTGTTCCAAGTGCAGCAGGTTCAATGAGATGCAGTGATTGTGTAAGATTTCCTGCTACTCCAGAGTGTGGTGAGTTAAAACTCTTTATGTAAACAAAATATGTATATTTACACTGTTTTATGCAACTTTACAAAAATCATTTCTGATTCAAATAGCATTTAGGTTAAATCAGAAAAAAACATTTAAAAGTTTTCTTACTTCAGATAAGTAGAGACCGTTCTTTAAAATGCTTTCAATGAAGAATAAAAAGCCCTACAAAATAAGCTGTGAGAGAAATTAAGGAAAGCCATTTTTAGCTTTAACCCCAATATAGAACCTGGTCCAGATAATAACAACTGTTTTACTTTATTCAAATAATATATGCAGGGGAAAATTGTGTTCAAGTCATATTGTTACATTATTACACATGCTATAGTTTTTGTTTCTATTTATAAAAATACTCTAATCTTTAATGTACAAGGCCAACAATGACCCCTACTGCAGTACAAGGACAACAATGACCCCTACTGCAGTACAAGGCCAACAATGACCCCTACTGACAAGGCCAACAATGACCCCTACTGCAGTACAAGGCCAACAATGACCCCTACTGCAGTACAAGGCCAACAATGACCCCTACTGCAGTACAAGGCCAACAATGACCCCTACTGCAGTACAAGGCCAACAATGACCCCTACTGCAGTACAAGGCCAACAATGACCCCTACTTTAGTACAAGGCCAACAATGACCCCTACTGCCGTACAAGGCCAAAAATGACCCCTACTGCAGTACAAGGCCAACAATGACCCCTACTGCAAATTGGCTAAATCCGAAACTACTGACATCAGCAAGTGAACAGTTTATGTAGAAAATCTTATATCTATTATTGTAGTTGCTTGCTGTTCCAATATTCTACTAAGTAGCACCTCACAGGCCACAATAGATGGATTCTCACTCCTTGGAAAATATATACCCTATGCTACTCAAACAGAAATTAATGGCAAGAAGGTTTATGTCAAAGAAGGTGATACTAGATACTGTTTAAGAACTCCAGTAGCAGGAGGGAACTGGGTTTTGGGAGTATGTTCTGATCTTACTGTAACTAGTGGGTAAGATGCTCTGAATAATAATCAAAATAAAAACAAATTATAATTTACTTTGAGATAAAAACTTTTAAATGATCACCCCTTATATATAAAAGACTTATTATCCAGTGTGACAGATCAAATTTATGATATGTCTATATGATAACATTATATGCTGATTGATTTTTGAAGACCGTTGTTTAACTAAAGGGAGATTTGTTCTATGAAAACATCAACTAATCAAATGCCATTTAAGTTATCTGTTATAATTTACATTGTTGCAAAGCTTGACCAATCAGAAGTTAGGATTCAACAGCATTGAGATTTTTATCCAGGGTGCAGCTTTATAGTTTTCTAAATTAAAAGTTCTAAATACATTTTGTATCTTTAGCTTTGCATTCGGAGATTCATCTAAGTGTCCAGAACAGTCTGGCCCAACATGGAGAATTGCTATTAGTGGATCACTCCAAGCAGATCCTTTGTTCAAAGTGACTTGTGCTGATCCAACAACTACAGCTTCAACCTCTACGGCAGCTTCAACCTCTAAAATAGCTTCAACCTCTGCCACAGCTTCCACCTCTATCACAGCTTCAACCTCTACCACAGCTTCAACCTCTACAATAGCTTCAACCTCTACCACAGCTTCAACTTCTACCACAGTTTCAACTTCTACCACAGCTTCAACTTCTACCACAGCTTCAACCTCTACCACAGCTTCAACCTCTACCACAGCTTCAACCTCTACCACAGCTTCAACCTCTACCACAGCTTCAACCTCTACCATAGCTTCAACAACCTCTACCACATCTTCAACTTCTACCACAGCTTCAACCTCTACCACAGCTTCAACCTCTACCACTGGTTCAACCTCTACCACAGCTTCAACCTCTACCACAACTTCAACCTCTACTACAGCTTCTTCTACTACTGTAACTTCTTCATTGTCTACTACAGCTTCTACAACAGGAACATCAATTGGAACTAGAGTAAATATATCAAGTTCCTTAAAATAAACTATTAAGATAAAATACATGATATTGTGTAAGTATGTATTCATTTCAGGCTCCGTGTGAAGCTTGCAAGACTGTCTTAGATGGAGCAATGGCTGGAATTTACAAATTGAAGGCAATGTTTAAATTTTAAAACTTTTGAAATAAGATAAACTAATTAGTTAATAAGTCAAATACATTCAAGGCTTTACATTTAACAATAAATTGTTCATATTGCACGATATTTGAAAAATACCCATCCAGTGGCCGAATTTAAAGAATTTGAGCGGCGGTTTAAATTTAAGCTGCGGCTTACATATGGTTGGTTCCACTTAAAATTGTTTTAAATGTTTCAAGATTTAAGCCGGCACTTGATTTAAACCGGGATTTGGTAGATTTAAACCGCGGCTCAAGTTCTTTAAATTCCATCTCTGGGTGCTGTAAAGTTAACCATTCTATCTTAACTTAAGAAAAAAAATATTATTTAAATTATTAAGGATAGGCTTTTTAGCTGCTAGTCTTCTCTAATATTGTCCCTTCCACATTTTTCTCTTTTAGTTTACAAGACGAGTATTTGAGACATCATCCAAACATTTGAATTTTGATTTGGAAATAATAATATGATTATCTGTTTGTCAGGAGTCTAACTTCCCATCCTGCTTGAACGGATGCTTGTATGAGTTTGGCTCAAATTTCTACTGTTTTGTACCAGGAGAGTTTAAAGTCACCCCTACCTGTAGTTGAATACCTAAACAAGACTTGGACATCTACTATAAAACATATTAATTGGTCAATTTCAAAATTATTTTCACACAAAACTAAATAAATTGATTCAAAACAAAAAGGGCTTCTTTTGTTTCCAGGAACTTTGAGCATAATTTTATGTAAGCTTCCATTTATAAAGTGTCATGTCCAATTTACATTGTACCTTTTAAACCTTTGTTTGATCAGGGGTTTCGTAGATATTCTTATTTATACAGTTTTTCATGAACAATGGTGTCATTCAGAATAAAAAACGTTCAGAAAAAAAAAATATTCAGAAAAAAAACCAACGCCTTGGATCATTCAGAGAAATTAAAAATCATTCACCTTTTTAAAAACAAACGAAAAAAAACAAAATGAAGGATTCAAAATCGTTCCAAGCTTGAAAAAACGAATAACGATAGCTTTTCACCGAACAAACCGTTTTTTGGACCAAGATTTTCAAAAAACGATAGTTTTGACTGAACAAACGATTTTATTGAACAAACAATTTTATTGAACACACGATGTTATTGATTAAATGATTTTATTGAATAAACGATTTTATTAAATAAACAATTTTATTGAATACAAATTTTATTGATTAAATGATTTTATTGAATAAACGATTTTATTGAATAAACAATTTATTGAATAAACAATTTTATAAAACAAACAATTTTATTGAATAAATGATTTTGTTGATCAAATACTGAAAAAAAAATTATTTTACTGAATGAATGATTTTACCCAAATAGATTGTAATAATCATATAATATGCGGCATAAGGACTATATCCCCACTCCACTTTTAATATTTTAAACTATCTCTTCATGTTAAAAAAAAAAAATCGATTTGACTACAGTTAGAAATAGTTAAGTTGGAACTAAATTAAGAAAATTAATTAAAATGTGTTTCAAAGTTTAATGGAAATAATACCAAACTGTTATCAAAAGCTTTCAGTTCAAAATTGTTCTCTCTGCACTCATATTATTCTGTCTCTACCTTTCTTAATACTAATTATTATAACTATTCATATATTTTTAGTATACACAGGGTAGTTGAACTTCTTTTCCAGTTCATGTACTCTATAGTTTAACCTTTTAATATACAATCATGCATCTAAAGATCACATCTATGCAATTTAGTTTGGAATATTAAACTTGCTTGGAAAAATACAAATAGGCTGTATTAATTTACACACAGACAGTACAGGGTGTCTCAATAAACATGGGAATTAAGTGACCACTTTTATATCGTCTTCGATCCATGAGGCCTTTTTTCAATAAACTATAACTGAGTATTCAAGTTTACTCATCTGATAACGATAACGCCTGGTCTTGAAATTTACAAAATGTGGTCTACCATTTGTGTATCTTCAAAACTGACAAATTATTTAATAAATCAAAATTGTATTTAAATATCTAATATCTTCGTTAATTTTTAAATGAATAAAGGAAGACCACATGATGATTTGCTCGTAAAACGTACAGTCTCGTATTTATACTTTCTTTGCCATGCATCAAATATTAGAAATCCAATCTCAATTCCCATGTTTATTGGGACACCCTGTACTAGCATTATTAAGAACTATCATTCTGAGAATTCTTAATTAACAAAAATGTTTGTAATTTTCTAAAAAATGTGGCTAACCTTGTTTATACATTTACCGCCTTTTGAACAACATGACTGCACACTATAAAGAAATTTTAAAATTTTCATCTAACGAAATGTGTCGGAGCACCGGCATTAAATTCACATTATCCAAGAGGGGGGTGATAAGTGACTTTATTGATGTCCAAAGAAAATTAACTAAATATCACACTGCTCTTCAAATTGTTCATGAAAAAATAGCGCATTTTCATCTTTTAAAGATGATAGAATTTAGATTGATTTTACTTAACCAAGGAGCTTCCAACCAATTTGTATTGGGACGTCTTGGTAAATTAAAGTCCCTTAACTTCCCTGTAAAATAGTTGTATATATATATATATATATATATATATATATATATATATAATAGACATTCTCTTTTTAGCGTCTTTGTCACATGATTAATCTAATTCCTTCTTGTAAAACTAGACAATAACATTTTATTTATGTATTTTTTAATTGTGCTTAAACAGTTCTTTGTTTAATATAAAACTTTTCATTATTCGTTAACAAAGTTTTTCATGTCGTCTTTCTAGTCTCTTAATCTTATTTAAATAAAGGTAAATAAATTGAATTATTTTAGTATTTAGTAGTTATCAGTTAGATTAGTGAGACAGCTGTCATAAAAAAAAATAAAGTGATTAAAGAACTACACTATGCTAAAGAAAAACAGGTAATCAAAAGGCTAAAATCTTTTAGAAAACAAATAGGAAGTAATAATTTAGAGGGGTTTCAAAAATATAAAAAGCCATAATAATAAAAATATCGAAAAGATATCATTATTTCTTAATTTTATTTGTATTACATTCACCAAAATTAACCGATTTTTAGTATAAATTATGTAATATCAAATTCACAGAATAAATTTAACAGACTAAAATGTGTGGTGTAGGGTTACTTCAGTGATAACCAGAAAACAGAGTAATAGGAAGACGACATTATTACTATAATTAAGTGTATTTGATGTTGTTACAAAGTAATATAGTTAATTACTGAACATTTCTCAAATCACAAATGTAGTGGAATGGGGCTGTTTATTTGCACAATTAATGCGTCTCATGCTTATTGGAATTTTTAAAGTTTAAACGTAGGTCTAAAAATCGTCTTCCTATTTTTCTGTTTATTACTGTATATCAAATAGGTTGTCAAGTACTTGACAATCTATTTGCTGTATATGAAAAACTTTACACTCCTAGCTCTAAACTGTAAACTTTACGTTGTACACTGTACACTGTAGACTGTGCAATACACGTTGAAATCTGTACACTGTACACTGTACACTGTAAACTGTACAATACACGTTGAAATATGTACACTGTACACTTTACACTGTAGACAGTACAATACACGTTCAAATCTGTACACGTACACTGTACACTGTAGACAGTACAATACACGATGAAATCTGTACACTGTACACTGTACACTGTAGACAGTACAATACACGCTAAAATCTTTACACTGTACATAAGAATTTGTAGAGTCGTTAACTGGAGAATAGCTGGGCCTGTCACTGGTTTAGCTGCATCCATCATTCTAACCAAATGTAAGTTTTTTTTGTTTTGTTTTTCATAACAGTTCGAAATTTACAAATCCTTGTATTCGGTTGGTTTAGAAAGCCTAGTGTAGGAAGTGTATGTATTTAATTAGGATTTAATTCAAAACAAAATCAACTGGGGCCAGATTTAATGAAAGGGAGAAGTAGATGAACAACATTGATCAAAATGAACCTTTTTTCCTTTTTTCATAATAACAGTTTTACTGCTTACCCAATACACAACCATTACCGCTATACGTTTTTTAATTACAAAACTTTAAAAAAACTGGCAAAGGAACCCATCATGTGTAGTAAAATTGCTGTGCACAAAATCAAAATCCCATTTAAGAATTGCTCTTATCTAAATATTTACATTGAAACATACATGTGATAAAAAGTCGTCTTTAGGATTTTAAATTTTATCAAAATCTGACAAGTGAAAGTGGGTCAAAACAAAGATTTAATTTGTTACAGGCAAAAGCAGTCATTCAGGCAGTGTGCCTGAGGACTCAGGCAGCTAGTATTAAAGCCCGGTTTTAGGCATAAAGGAAGGGCTTTGGGTATGTAGGAAAAGTCAAAAAAAATTTAACAGCCTCAGACCAATACTTTTTGAGTTATGTAAAAAAAAACTACAGAGAGGGGCCCCCACCCCCTTGCAAGAATAGGGTTAAAAGTGTGAACATCCAATAAAAAAATATTCTAAAAAAGTTTTTATTTGTAGTTTGTATACAATGATAACCAGAAAACTCTGACTTTTCGATTCAAGTTATAACAATAGAAATGAGCATGAGACACAGCAATTGTGCAGTGTAAACAGACTCATTGCATTAGATTAGTTATTGGATAAGTGTCTAGTAAAACTACAGGGTGTCCCACGAAACATGACATTTTGTAAATTGTTAATTTTAGTTTAAAAAAAATCTTTCTTTTACTTTAAAATCAATTTTAATATAACGTGACTTCAATCTAATATTTTTATTGATCTTTGGTGTCAAACAACTCAACGAATTATGGAAAAGGACAAATTCTAAACTTTTCACCAACTTTCATGTTTCGTGGGACACCCTGTATTTGCTTAACATCAAATACACTTAAGTATTGCAATACTATCGTCGTCTGTATTTGCACCATCTATCATTATCAAGTTATATATTTCAATCCTGCTTGGGCCAAATGAAACTTAAATGCTTGAATCCTGCTTGGGCCAAATGAAATGTATATGCTTGAATCCTGCTTGAATCCTGCTTGAATCCTGCTTGAATCCTGCTTGAATCCTCCTTGAATCCTGCTTGAATCCTCCTTGAATCCTGCTTGAATCCTTTTTGAATCCTCCTTGAATCCTGCTTGAATCCTGCTTGAATCCTCCTTGAATCCTGCTTGAATCCTGCTTGAATCCTGCTTGAATCCTGCTTGAATCCTCCTTGAATCCTGCTTGAATCCTGCTTAAATCTTGCTTGAATCCTGCTTGAATCCTTCTTGAATCCTCCTTGAATCCTACTTGAATCTTGCTTGAATCCTGCTTGAATCCTGCTTGAATCCTGCTTGAATCCTCTTTGAATCCTGCTTGAATCCTCCTTGAATCCTGCTTGAATCCTTTTTGAATCCTCCTTGAATCCTGCTTGAATCCTGCTTGAATCCTGCTTCAATCCTGCTTGAATCCTCCTTGAATCCTCCTTGAATCCTGCTTGAATCCTGCTTGAATCCTGCTTGAATCCTGCTTGAATCCTTTTTGAATCCTGCTTGAATCCTGCTTGAATCCTGCTTGAATCCTCCTTGAATCCTCCTTGAATCCTCCTTGAATCCTCCTTGAATCCTTCTTGAATCTTGCTTGAATCCTGCTTCAATCCTGCTTCCTCCTTGAAAATCCTGCTTGAATCCTTTTTGAATCCTGCTTGAATCCTGCTTGAATCCTG